TTCGAAATCGCGAATTCTCCTGTATTTATGCCAGAGCGGCAAACAGAAGGTAGGTTATTGACGTCGCTTGTGACATCTCTTCAAAAGCCGCCTGTAACAAGGTAAACAATCTAAGCGGAGCGTGCCGAGGGAAATCTCATCTATTGGAGGGGAATTCACCGGATAAATCAATTAGTGCTTGTTCATCTCGGAATGACGATGCGGGGGTTACATCTGGGGTTTGCGGAGAGACGATCATTGCATTGTTTTAGTCAGTCGGCTATTGAGAACCCGACCAAGTTAACTGCTGTCCAATGGAATCTACTCGGAGTAGCCTACAGTCTAAGCTTAGACCATGTTGTGTTCATACGATAAATAATAAGCACTGTATTCCACGCAGGAACTGGTATCAATTAACAGCAGTGCAAGTAAATGTGGGAAGAGCATGGGTAGTGCCAAGTACAGACAGTACTTCGCATGGATTCTGCAAGCAATAGGAATAATAATCAAGCAAACCGGCTAGACTGAATAATCTACACAAACGAAGAAGGAAAATGGTGTTCGTGAAATACATCGCAATGTCGTTTAGAGACATTAGGTATATTTGCGGAGCTAAGGGATAAGTCAGTCAACAACATTCTCAAGGCAAAGAAGAAAAAGAGTAGTGCTGGATTACTCACATCGAGGGTCAAAGACTTGCTGCTGTTCTGCACCTGATCCCGGTAAATACCAACCAAGGCCTCGCTGTTCTGGAAGAGGCCAGTCTTCAGACTAATGACGATGAACTGCATGCCAGGGCCTGCGTGGTCATGGATATAATTCGCAATGCGGGCAACATTGGTATTATCGAGAGCAGCATCGACCTCATCCAGCACGAAGAAGGGCGAAGGTTGGTAGGAGTGAATTGCAAAAAGCAACGCGAGCGCCGCCATAGTCTTCTCGCCACCTGACAAGTGTTCCATATCACGGAAACGTTTCAGAGGCGGCATGGCGTGGTATTTGATACCGTCAAGGTATGGCTCGTCCGAATCCTCAATATCGAGGTAACTTTAAGCGGTGTCAGTAGGCAAATATGAGGATCAGATCGGAAGACTTACGCTTGTCCACCAAGAGGATAATTGGTACTGCGAGTTAGCTCACGATAAATGGGGCCAATCTGCTCGGAGATGTGTGTAAAGGCTTTGTTGAAGAGGTCGGAACGCTGCTTCATCACATTTTCAAAGTCGTCCTTTGCCTTTCGGGCATACTTTCGAGCATCCTCAAAGTCTTTCTCGGTACCGCGAAGTTTATTCTCCACGGTCTCTAGACGTTCCATCGCGCGGGTATTGGGGGCCATCTTGTCGAGCTCGTTATTCAGACCGCGAACCTTTTCAAGGAGCTCCTCCTCGAGTTTATCATCGGACTCCTATTGCAGTCATTAGCATGCGGCGTGTGATTAGATAGTGATGAGTACAAACCTCTTTAAGGGTCTCCCCAAGAGAGTCAAAATCAACCTCAATACCATAATCTTGCACCACAGGTGTTTCATCAAGGCCGTCAGCCTCATCCACATCCATGGCGTCCGGATCTGCGGCCTGCACAAGATCATCAATGGGGAGTTTCTCGAGGCCATTAGAAGACTCTTCCAGAGGAATGTCAATATCTTCAAGCTTGCAACGACGGAGAAGGGCATATCGACTAGAAGAATTGCGTTGGATCTCAGCCTCCAGGGCATTGATATTCTTGAGTGCTCCTTCAACATGCTTGCTGCGCTTCTGAAATTCTCGTCGCTGTTCAGCCAGGTTCTCGGCCGACTGTGCGTAGATCTCCTTCTGTTTCTCGAGGTTCTCGCGTAGGAGTTCAAGTTCAGCACCGCACTCATCCAGCTTATTCCGGATTTCTTCCTGTTGCTCCTTAAGCTCTCCAATCAGGTTCATATCACGGTCATACTGAGATTGGAGACCGCTGATTCGATCCTGAGTGGCTTCGATGCGCTGCTTTTCAAAGCTGAGCTGATTCTCAATACGACTCTTTTGTGTCATGAACTCAAGCTTCTTTTGAGCGGCTTCCTCCTGCAAAGAGCCCTGCTGGGCCTCATATTCACGGATGTTGTCGTAGCCCAGGCGTTTGCAGAATTTGCGGTAGATTTCATCTTCGACGTTACTGACAGACTCTTGCGAATGTTCGATAGTCTCGTCCAATTCATCCAGGTTCTCCTTGCGTTCCGTATACTTAGGGCGCAGGTCTTCCATTTGTTGCTTGACAAATTCTAGCTCGCTGCGTTTGCTCTTGATGTTCCGTTCAAGGGCCTTCAGTTCGTCGCGGGCATAATTGAGGCGTTGCTCAAGACCAACAAGCTCTCCTTGCAGCGTCTCCTCCTCCGAGCCCCGGCGATGACTTTTCGGTAAACTGCTAAGGTCACCCAAAAGTTTGTCCTTCAACTTGCGAAGGTTCTCCACTTCAGAATCTTCCCAGCGCTTGGAAGCATTCTGTTGAGGGCCACGACCACCAGTCATCAAACCGCCCTTGTGGATGACAGTACCATCCAGAGTAACTGCTTTGGCATCGACATTTCGCTCGTAGCACAGATACTTTGCGGTAGCAAGGTCATCGCAGACAATTGAATTGCCGCAAGCGTACACGATGGCGCGAGATACTGAGTCGTCGTAGTCCACAGTCTCAATGGCGGGGCGCATATTCCGATGCAGCCCCTTCAGGTTCGAGTTGAAGGCTTTGACTTGAATGGTTTCGAGAGGAATAAAGGTGGCTTGACCAGCTCGCTGGTCCCGAAGATGCTGGATACACTCCTTGGCGGTCTTTTCATTGTCGACGACGACAGCATCAAAGTGACGACCAAGGACGGTGCTGACAGCTTCGGCGTACTTTCGCTGCTTTGGTCGGCAGAGGTCGCTGACGCGACCCTTCACACCGGGAAAGATGCGCTTAAGGGTGGAGATGAGTTCCTTAGCCCGGATCTCACGCTCATTCTGCTTCTTTCCATCGTCGGCCTCCATCAGCTTCTTGAGCACCACCTGTAGTTTCTCCTCGAGCTCGGTTCGCACTTGCGAAATCTTCAAGCGTTCCGAAGTCAAACCATTGAGGTCCTTCTTCTTGCGATCGATATCTTTGGAAGTAGACTTAATCGTTTCCTTAAGCGCAGACTGGCGCTCGTTCATTGTTTGCGAGTCGGATTCGAGAGTCTTAAATTGCCACTCAGTGGTCTCGAATTTGCCCTTGAGGCTGTTGACGGCTTCGGCTTCGGTTTTCCTTTGGCGACGGAGGTTGTCGAGATTAAGTTGATCGGCAGATGAGCGCTTGCTGACCTCTTCGCGGAGCTTGTTGTACTCCTGCTGGTCACCTTCACTAAGCTGTCCGCCCCGCTTGTTCGTAGTCTTCTGCCATTCAGCCTCCCATTGACCCTGGGCCTTCTCCACCAGCTTCAGGTCCTTCTCGAGCTGCTTTGCATTGTTCGCCTGGCTCGTGCGCTCCTTGCCGATCTCGTCGATCTTTGATGAATACCGTTCCACCTTTCTTTGGGTGATATCCACCTTCTCGTCGATAGGAACCAGAGAGTTATTGAGTTCTTCAATTTCTTTTTCCTTCTGATGGATATTCTTGTCGGCCTTTCCAACATCTCTGCCGACTCGGGCGTGTTCCTTCTTGGCGTCTTCGACATTGTTCTCGTATTTCTCAACTCCGCGACGGTATTCCTTGAGCTCATCCTGATATTTCTGGATATCGGCACTAGAGTCATCGATTAATCGTTGGAAGTGGAAAAGCTTCCACAGGATGTGGGTGATGATGGCTTGATCGCGTTCCTCAGCCTTCTTCGCATAGTTCTCGGCTTCGCGCTTCTGCTCCTGGTATTGTTTAACCTCAGAGTTGATTCCTCGTCGACGGTTGAGTTGAACGGTCTGTTGTTCGGCGGCCTCTTCGGCCTCCGCTTTGAGTTTCTCGTAGTCACCTTTGTATTCTAAGCTGCCAGAGATCTGTTCGATCAACCGGGTGAGGTCCCTCGGAGACTGGGATGCAATTGCCTCGACATCACCTTGGAAAACCAGGAAGTTGCGTGCGCGGATCAAGATGTTCTCCTCCTCCAGAGCCTCGTTATATTGCTGAGCAGTGACGATTCGGTTGTTGATGCGGTACTCGCTGGCACCCTGGCTGGTAATAGATCGACGCCATTGCTGTTCCTCGCCCGCGTCATCCTCATAGACAGCCATAACCCAGGCTGTCTTAGGATCATTCGCACCAGCAGCATCCTGGGATGCATCCATATCATCGTCTTCCTCCTCTTGTTCAGCGTCTTCGCCATTGACAATAGGTTCTCCGTTGACATCAACCTTGGAGGTACGCAGGACACGGCCGCGATAGACGAGATCTTTGAGGTTGGTGGATCGTAGGTGAGAGGACTTGATTCCTAGGACGAACGAAATGGCATCCATTCTAGTGTTGTCAGCGCAAGCCATGGCGAGGGCTAGAGGGCAAATATCACATACGAATTAGACTTGCCAGACCCATTGGGTCCAATGATGGAGGTGAAGTATGCATCTCCGAAGAGCAAGGTGTGATGTCCTTTGTAAGACTTAAAGTCTGCGCGCGGAAGGTTAGCAACATAACGCGGTGTTTCGGTGATTAAAGGACGTACTGAAAAGTTCCAACCTAATGAGTTTCCCCATCTTGCGTCTTATCAGCTCCGCGAGGAGGCAATACGAACAAAGGCAAGCAAACGGTGGGGGTTGAGTGGTGAGGTGAAAGAATGCGCTCGGAGGTGGAGGGGCGCGATATGGGGAAATCGTCGCGACACGCGCCGGCGCCCAATCAAATCACGTGGTGACGAGCCAACGGATGTAGTATACAGAACCTCCCTAGGTAGGTAGCGATCACTGGCTCAGGTCGAAGTTCTCAACCTTGTCACCTTACATTCGGATATGAGTTCAACGCAATTCTCGCAAGGTTCTCTTGCATCTTTGCGACGATTGCTCTCTTGAGCCTCAACTAATAAATTGTCAGTCCTGGCACGCACTCTTCCGATCGTCACTATGCCTCCACACAAGGGCCTCACCCCACAAACTGTAAGTATTACAAACTACAGTCTCTCCAAGGTCATAGTCCAATCCTCACTCACCCTGAACAAAGTGGGTTCAATAAGCAGCTCACCTGCTAGTTAAATCTTCCGCTGCATCCTCCGCAGGGTTTCGCGACGAAGTCCCTGTTAAATCTCCTATCCAAAGCTATGGTATTTCTACGGTGGGAAGTTCCTAAAATATATTAATAAAATAGATCTCTAATACTATTATCTCCTTAGAAGCGACCTGTTCCTCCTGGATGGACATATGGTGGTATCGATGATTCGTGGGACTACGCTGGAAGTATAGGTCCGGCTGTCGCAAAGTCTTTTGGTCTTGGTCCAGTACAGCCAATTCTGGAGGATAAATATGGCATACCACAGATTATTCAATCTGGCGACAAGTCCTTCTGGTAGGACCTGGTAAATTCCGATATCTATGAGTTTGCCACTCAGGATCTGGGTGAGATCTATCATGCTCTACATCAAAGTGGACCGCGAAAACTGGATATGCGGCTCCTGGAGGAGATTGACGATTAGGCTCAAGTCAAGCTAGCTAGCTTTACCGGATGAAACTACAAGTCGGCGGACTTGCTTCCAGAGCTTCGTTTTAGTTGAAATTGCTACATTGCTGAATCTTATCTCATACCACTGCTTTTTGTAAAAGATTTTTAACTGTAGATCACCCGAAACGTGCGAGATATCCACATGTACAGAATACAGGCCATATATGACGGCGAGGACAAGCCAGGGAAGAATACCGGTTTTGAAACTCGGTGGAGAGGGTGTCGCGCTTGCGCATTTCGATGTTGCTATTCACGGCGCCGTTCGCATGGCTGTTGTGGCCGGTTGCCACTTTCAACCTCGGTTTGGAGCGGCATTTGGTGAGAGTTTTGTTCTTGCATGTCATTGGTTATGCGTGGATGTAGTTGTGGCAATGCGATGTTGCTGTGATGAAGTTGAAGTGGATAGGCTAACTACGGTATGCGGAGTTTATTAGATACTAGGTAGGCATTAGTCACTAATTTTGAATGTCTGAATATATCTGTTTGATTGGAATAAATTGGTAATACAAGTTCTATATGTACAGATGCTGCAGGCAGTTCTCGAGGTTGTTTTCAACCCTCAGAACAAATCGCAGAACTGACTCTAAGCGTAGGCCAGAATTTATGAAGATATGACTGATAGGACATCAGATAGCCGCCGATGAAGCTTATTTTTTGCCAGTAAACCGGACAGGGTTACCAAGGGCGTACAAATCACTCGAAACGTAGCCATTGGAGTCCAGTCGGAAAGTGGCTTTCCGACCCTCAATCTGCATCAAGATGAAGTCTTCACTTGTAAAGACCTGGCGAACAGAAAGGAAGATCCTCCACAGGCCCCGACTCAACTTTTGGACAGGGGCCTTGACAAAGCTAGGGGCTTCCTCCGATCCAAGTTTCCGGCTCTCGCCTTCAAATCGTTTCGCGGCCTGCTCTGAGACGACCAGACGCTTAGAAATGGAGACCTGGGCAGGCAGTACCTCGATTTGGTAGGGCTTGGTGAATGGCATCAAACGGCGAACCTCGAATCGGATGTAGGTATGGCCTTGGGACTTAATAGCCGTGATGTTGCGAATCATATGGCTGGTTCGGACAAAGAACAGAGTACCCATGACACTCATAGTGACACAGATACCTCCGAACAAAGCCTGTTGCCACATAGGAAGATCTGTCAATGGATCCCGGAAGACAGCATTGGAGTTATAGACCGCATAGGCGAAGCAAAATGCGGATAGTCCATAGGCACTCAGGACATAAGTACGCTGTGAGGGCGCATTGAAAAGCACCACTTCACCCTGTCTTGCTACCTTCAATGCCAGTTGACCAATGTTTCCAGCTTTGATCGGTGAAGCCTGAATTGTATTCCGAACGCGATGTGTTTGTCCGGCAGCTTGCGAAGTCGGCTTCGGCGCTTTGGGGGCCTTGGATGCAAATGACCGCCATGACAGGGCATGTACTGTCTGAGAAACAGGTCTTAAAGGAGACCCAGCACACCGGTGCCAAAATATCCGAAGGGTGGATGCTCTTGCGGACATGATTATCGCGCGATCTGTATCCACGGCAGGGTTAGTAAGTACGCGAATATTGCCGGCATCGTGTTGCAGGATATCGGAGAAGACCGGCTCAATCAAGAACAGGAGATCCCAACTCCGATATCATAAGGAACAGAAAGAACAAGACTTACCCCAAAGGCAAAAACAAATCGGGGTTTGTTCTCCTCGGAAAGCACCGCCAGATCGAAAAGAACCCGCGGCAGAAAAATGTTCCCGTCCGGTTCACCGGCCGCCCTCCCAACACCCTCAACCATCAGACTCTCTCACATCTCATCCTCCAATTCACGCCAGCCTCAGACTATTATACCTCGAATTTAGTGCAGATTGACGCGGTGGTGTGCTTTTGGTCGATTCTGTCCGTCTCTGCCGGCAAATCAGCTCCCTCAAAGCATTGCGACAACCCCATAACGCACATCTCCGCCGCCCTAGCATTCATATCCGCATCCCCGAAGGAACAACATATTACATACAAAATGGCAGCTCGAATCTCCGCCAGCCAGGTGCCGGCCATGTTCGCCCGCCGTCAGCCTAGAGTGCTTCAGACTGCTCGTCGTGAGTTCGCTTTCCCCGCCCAACACAAGCTCGAAAGCTCGAAAGATCGCGGAGGATAGCACCTCCGGACAATATCGAAGCCTCCCCAACCCACCCAATCCACCACTTCTCCAAGCCAATTCCACCTCCAGCTCTACCGAAAACTCCTATTCTAACCATTCCACCAGGCCTCCAATCCTCCTCCGCCCCTCAGACCCAGAACCCCGCCTACCCGCTCTACCCCTCCGTCACCCAACTCCTGCACGAGAAGGGCATCCCCGTCTCCGACGCCTCCAAGATCCCCGCCTCCGGACCCAAGGGCCGCCTCCTGAAGGGTGATGTCCTCGCCTACCTGGGCCAGATCGCAAATGACTACCCAGCCTCGCAGGCCGCGACCCTCGCCAAGCTCCAAGTCCTCGACCTGAGCAACATCAAGATCGCCGCTCCAGCCCCCCAAGCCCGCCGCCGAGCCCAAGCAAGAAGAAGTCGTCGCCGCGAAGCCCCCACCCATGGCCTCAGTCGCTATCACAATCTCCCTGGCCGCCGTCCTCTCCGCCCAGCGCAAGCTCCAGGAGAGTCTGGGCGTGACCGTCCCCCTGTCCCGCTTCCTAGCCATCGCCACTGACCTGGCAAACGACGACCTCCCCCGCGCAAAGAACTTCAAGCCCTCCGCCGACGAACTCTTTGATGAGATTCTCGGCGCCGAGCCCGTCCTCTCATCACGCGGAGATTACATCCCCGAGCTGAACGCCTTCGAGGCGTACGAGGCGCCTCGCTCCGAGCCCGTCGCCGAAGATATCATCGACATTCTCAGCGCCAAGCCAGGCAAGAAGGTCTCTGCTGCTGCCGAGCCAGCCTTTGAAGACGACGCCGCTGGTGCCGCGAACGTTTTCAGCCTGACTGTCCCCGCTGGTGAAGAGGTTCGTGCTAAGGCTTTCCTTGAGCGCATTAAGGCTCTCCTTCAGGTCGAGCCTGCTAGGTTGGTTATTTAAAAGCATGCTTTTGCTTGCATTTTATGTTCTGTTTTTTTTTACCTCAATCTCCGCCCCACCCCAGTTTGCGAGACGTTTTATTTGGTTGATTGCCCAGCCTGAGGGTTTGGGTCCAAGGCTTTTTGTATTTCCTGTAGCATAGATAATTGATTCAGCCTTGGCTTTTTTAACATTCGATTGTGCAATTGTCCAATTGTCCAATTTGCAAATATATTCATTTCAAGATTACCATTATTTGCTGGTAAAAGATACAATAGTCACTTGAAGACTGTCGGTACTAGCAGAAACGTGGCTGTCACGGAACTTGAAGGTTCCAGGGTACCCGGTAGTACCTAGATATATTCGCCCCGGTGCCCACGGTGGTAAACATTCATGGATTCCAAGGTTCTTCTTCAAGATGGATGGATGCATGAATAAGTGGTAGTACTAGTTTCCAAATTCAAGCCCTGGAGGTTTGGCCGGAATGGACTCGGAGTTACCCAAGGTACGAGCTTTTATGTCTCCAAGAAAATCTAAATTTCCATAAGAACTTTAAGGATTCATAATCAATGCAATTCTATCGAGAATCATGCTTATTTCCCAGAGCGACCATGCTAGATGGATTGGTACCTGGAGATACGTTCAAGTCCAGGCAGGAAAAAAAAAGCAAAACGAATTGTCGCCAGACTGGAAAGCAGAAAGGGGAGGGGAAATCATGTCGTCGTCATCAGAAGAATCCAGAACAAGCCAGCAATCGCAAATGAAGAGAGAGAAAAAGAGCCATCCATGCTGACATGTAACGCCCCGAATATCCCAATGCCGGCGACCCCGTTGAAAAACACCATGAGCGCCACTGCTTAGACCCGTTGGAAGAAGTTGATAGCTGCGCCGGAACAAATGCCTCCCAGAGGCATATAGCAAAAAGCAAAGAAGAACAAAAAAGGATGAGCTTGATGGAACCCAAATCAAGGTCAAATGAGGAGGATTCGTAAGAGGCTTGCCAGTTAGAAGATGATGGCTGCCAGTGATCCCGAGTATGATGCCATAGATGCCAATGCGTAAAAAGTGTGAATAGATCCCATAATAAACCATGCCATGACATTAACCTTCTTCGCCGAATCAATGCCAGAGACCACAAAACGCCGAGTTGAATGCAGGAGTGTGAAATGAAGTAAAGTGGATGGTTCGTATTTACCGGATCGTGCCGAACTCCGCCAGTCTGCTACCAGAGCGTCGATTGTCGCGTGTGGCTCGCTTGTCGAAGATCTTCCAGAACCGGAGTGTTTCATCGCCAGCTCCTGTAACGACAGTTTGACCGTCTGGGCTCATGGCCAGGTACAGCACACGGAAGGTGTGGCCAGTCAGAGAGACAATCTGCTCCATGCGTGGGTACTTCCAGATGACAATTTGATTCTGGCTGTATCCGTGGGTACTGATGATCTCGTCTGAGTTCTTGCACCAGGACAGATTACAGACTTGGCTACCAGTGTCAACTTCCTTGACCATAGTGCCGGTTTGTGTGTTCCAGAACTTGATGGTGCGGTCTGCAGTACCTCCACCCGAGGCAAGTAAATGATGCTGATGAGGGGACCATGCAATGGCTTTCACGGCTGCGCAATGATCCGAGAAGCGATAGAGGGGAGTTTCGTTCAACTTGTCCCATACCATCAGCTTATTGTCATTGCCGCCCGATGCTAACTGCCCGTCCTCTGTGTTCCATTTCAAGCCACAGACCTCTTGCTTGTGACCAGACAGTCGGCGGAGATACTGGTCTGGAGAACGAACATCACGGTGATAAATGAGTCGATCGCGAGATCCTGAAGTAAGAATATGATCATTCCATGCCAATGCACCGACGCGGTTGGTATGCCCAATCATAGTTCGAAGTCGTCTGCAATGCTCTGCATCCCAGATTTGAACCAGGCCTTTGCCTGTGCCAATGGCAAGATGAGTGCCCTATGATTGATTAGCTCCAATGCTTCTGATTGCTCTTCGTGATGTCAAGCTCACCCGCTGAATCCAGTTCACACTGGTAACTGTGTCATCTTTCAATTCACACAGCTTGGTCACCCGGCCTGACTGCGAGTTCCACATATAGACTGAATTAGCCAACCCAACTCCGAGAACATTGCTGCTGCCCCAATCAACCAAATTGAGGTAGAAGTCGTCCTGTAGATCGGGAGCATCAAGGACCTTGTAAGGCACCTTGTTGACATAGCGAGGCTGCTTGCGCGGGGTTTCAAGAATCCTTGCACTATCAGATCGAATGGGAGATAGACTGTAAAGTTCTGAGCGCGCATTCAGATTCGGCGCATGGGCGCTCCTTGGGGTTTTTGAGGGAGTCGGATGGCCCGAACCTGGTCGAGTTGGACCATAGTTGAAGAGGTTTTTGTGTGGGGTAGATGGGGTGATGCTGGTAGGTGGGAGGTTGGAAATGTGTGGAGGGGTATGTGACCGGGTCTTATCATTGATGCCATTAGTAAAACCCATTAATGGGTCTGACGAGCCCAATGTGAAATCTGCTTGGGGAACAGTGTTTCCGAATAGTTCACTCCGCAAAACGCGAGAAAAGGTCCGATTCGCTTCCTCCGCTGCACAATGCTGGTTAGCCATTATTTATCTGCGATGCCATGAGAAGGGACGAACTCTTTTGGAAATGAAGCTCTGAGTGGGGTGCACGTCGCTTGGATTTGGATGGTGTTGTAGGACAACCATCCTCGCCGAGCAAATTGTACGTCGCCTGTAAATCCTGGCCGTCGCGATTTGGGATGAAACTAAATGCGGATTAGTCTCAGTTGATGCCCACCGAGCGAGGAATTCCAGGGAGCGCCTGCAGGCGCCCTTTTTATCCCGAGCATTAGGGACATACCGATCTCCATACACCCGTTGCCGCTTTCGGCAAGGGCTGGTACCCGGGGTTCTCTCCCTTTGACGGCCGGCCTGGTCATAATCCTTCAGTGCCTTCGCCAGCGCTGAGGCATCGATAGGTTCCGACGCTTCTGGCGCTTTTGATCGATTGACATTGTTATCGGGGTACAGGATTGTCCTCTTTGTGGGCATACTCGGCGGAGTTTTCGATCCAGGCGGGGAAACAAAACTGGCGGCTTGTGATCGGGTGTTGGCCCTTGTCGACCTTCCACTCTTTACGCCCGTCTCTGTATCCTGAGATTGATCCCCCATATTGATTGTTGGTGCTCAGGCCCAGGAGCAGATTGCGCTGGTTTGAGGGTTGGTATCGGAATTTGCATGCGAACAGAACCGGAAAGCGATGGTATGAGAGAAGCAGATTGGTGGTTGCGTGGGAATGTCGGGTATATTTGAAGGTGAGGTGTTGACGGTAAGAGAGTGAGGGATGTGTTTGTGGCGCTTCGAAAGTGGTGACCTACGGCTTTGACCGGACCCGTCCAAGCCAAGAGGGCGGACACCACAGTGAATCAGCTGGTCAAAGAGAATAGCATTCAAAGGAATGGTAGACAAAGGGCAGTGTTGAAGGGATACTATTCCGAGTTGGAGCTGGCCGTTCCAAGGGTTCCCTTGAGGTCACGCGTCGGTTGCGCTATCCCTAATTGGGATGTGCCTAAGGGGGGGGGCAGTCACTGTGGAAACACCCACTTTCATAGTGTGGGATCATACTATAAGTTCACAATTTAGAAACCGTATAGTATAAATAGTATAGCTACAAAGTCCTTCATCTATTAGACATGATGTTTGACCCTCTAACCATGATCTCTGTGTCTTCTTTCACCAACATCAGTCACACTGAATCACGTCTTTGTTATGATTCTACGCCACCATCACCTGTCTCAGTGTTTATGCACAGGGACGCGACCAGCTTATGCGAGGTCCAACCAAAGTCATCCCTAAAGGTTGCGAACACCTGGTGGGGGGAGCCATTTAACCCTGTTCAGACAGTGCGACCGGACGCGACTCGGCGCGTCGCGTGGAAGCGCGAGCTCGGACTAGGGAGGGTAGATAGCGCAACTGCCAATCATTTCAGCCCGGAGAATTTGCACCAGTCTACTCCAGGCTCTGTACCTACCTAGGTACTGGTAGTGATATCCAAAGACAGACAGTCATAGATTTTTTTCTCGCGACCAGTAGGGCTCCGTATTCGTAGATAATTACCTAGTAGGTATCTAGTGTACCTGGTACTACTAGTAGTTAGTAGTACTCCCTTGTTTCCTGGCTAGTAACTTGAACTCCCCAGGGCTTCAAATACCTACCTGGGTATCTATGTACCTAGGTTATCTGAATCAACTTGGAGTTTAACTAAAATTCGAGTTAGATTCAGCACCTTGAGATCCATCATAATATATAATATATTTCAGCTAGCATTCTTATGTAAAATATATTATTATTCAAGTTAGAACCAGAACATCCATAGTTCTACTAATTACTACTAATTTGTTTATCATGTGACAGCGCTGGAAAAAGGTGAGTCTTCTTCAAGACCAGTATTGCGACAGAGCAACTCCAAGTATAAGAATCATAAAGACAACTTGAATTAAATTAAGAAGTAAGTTGCAGAACTTGGAACAAGGGAATTGTTGTAAGCCACATGAACTTTGAAAATGCCAAGCATTCCAAGGCCAATAAGATCGGCGACTGATATAGTTATGGCCACTGGTAATGCGGAGAGTCACCGCCCAAGAGCATCTCCGCCCGACTTTCAAGAACTTCGATTGCGATGCCCCTCAAACCCTCCAGTCTAGGCAGAATCTGCACATCGCGCGTCTACTCCACTATGGTCTCCAAACAGCCTGCCAGGGATTTCCTGGACTTTGTCAACGCATCCCCTACCCGTATGCCCTCTGCACTTCAACTTCGAGAATTATGCGAACGTGAACCTGACCCAATTTAGCCTTCCACGCCGTCAAATCCGCCAAGGACCTTCTGAGCCAAGCTGGGTTCCAGGAAATCAAGGTACTTCAACTTACTCCATCATTCCACAGGGGAGCCCGGGCTCCCCGCAATCTTAAACTTCAAGCTGATCCTCCTCGTCTCCACAGGAGAAAGATTCTTGGGCCAAGACATGCCAGCCCGGAGGCAAGTATTATCTTACTCGCAACACCACCACTCTCGTTGCTTTTGCAATTGGAGAGCAATGGAAGGTTTGTATATATATCCTCCATAATTCCTGGATTACACTCCGATTGACATGCAATAGCCCGGCAACTCCATCTCCATGATCGGTGCTCACACTGACTCCCCCGTCCTGCGGGTCAAGCCTGTCAGCAATAAGCGGGGCGAGGGCTTTGTTCAGGTCGGTGTTGAGTGCTATGGTGGTGGTATCTGGCACACCTGTATGTTCCAACACCAAGTTGCGGTCTCTTGACCATTGCTAATCTGAAAATTTCAGGGTTTGACCGTGACCTCGGCGTCGCTGGCCGGGTCATGACTCGTGCTAAGGACGGTTCGATCGTGCAGAAGCTGGTCAAGGTTGACCGTCCCAGTAAGTATCGCACCGGCCGCTACCTCTTCAATGCCAAACTGACCTCCTAGTTCTGCGTATTCCAACTTTGGCCATCCACCTGGACCGCCAGGAGAATTTCTCCTTCAACAAGGAGACTCAATTGTTCCCCATCGCCGGCATGGTTGCCGCTGAGCTGAACAGAACTCCCGACTCCACACCTCATGGTACGGTCAACGATCATGCCGAGGATGACTACACTCCTCTGAAGTCCATGACTGAGCGCCACCATCCCTACTTTGTCGACTTGATCGCCGAAGAGGCCGGTGTCAAGGCCGAGGATATCCTGGACTTCGAGATGATTCTTTTCGATACCCAGAAGTCATGCCTTGGTGGTCTGCTCGAGGAGTTCATCTTCTCACCTCGCCTAGACAACCTTAACAGCACATACTGTGCCACCGTCAGTTTGATTGACTCCGTTGCCGACTCCTCTGCCCTCGCCAACGAGTCCGCCATCCGTCTGATCGCCCTTTTCGATCACGAGGAGATTGGCAGCCGTACTGCGCAGGGTGCGGACTCTAATATTCTCCCATCAATCATCCGCCGTCTGTCTGTCCTGCCATCTTCGTCATCCTCGGATGTAGACCTTGCCACTGCCTACGAGCAGACTCTTTCCACCTCATTCCTTGTCTCTGCTGACATGGCTCACTCGGTTAACCCCAACTATGCCGCCAAGTACGAGGCCGACCACAAGCCTGAGATGAACAAGGGTCCTGTCATCAAGATCAACGCGAACGCTCGTTATGCTACCAACTCTCCTGGTATCGTTTTGCTGCAAGAGATTGCTCGCAAACACGCCCAGAAGATCGGCGAGCACATCCCTCTGCAGCTGTTTGTCGTTCGCAACGACTCTAGCTGTGGTAGTACTATCGGCCCTATGCTCTCTGCAGCCCTCGGCGCCCGCACACTGGATCTCGGCAACCCCCAGTTGAGCATGCACAGTTGCCGTGAGACTGGTGGTACTTATGATGTCGCCCACGCCATCCGCCTCTTCACTGGATTCTTCGAGCACTACTCAGAGCTGTCTCAGAACATTCTCGTGGATTAAATGATATACATCTAGGGAGGAATAACGTATTTCAAACAAAGCGAAATTGATAGAATGAATGCACATTGGAATGTACCTGAAATAGTCAAGAATATCTATACTAGTTAACTAGATAAAGCCGACGTCCCGGAATGTATAGATCCAGAGCACGTGTTCGGGCCGACATCACTCCGCCTCCTCAACTCCACCGCGGCTTATCGCTAACTATCATCATCCCCGACCAAGCTGGACCATTGCCGGGTGTCCACGCTCCCATGACCCTCTATGACCGACGTCGATGCCTTTCGAGATGCGGAGTACATCGCTGACGTGTCTGGTATCTCCCTCGAGGGTGAAGACTCGGGGGTGCCAGGGCCACTGCCAGTCAGCGGCCAGAAGAGCCGCGTGAAGAAGCTCCAATCCGCAGCGAAAGTCGCCTTCATCGACAGGCTTCTTCGAGACCTCGATATTCTAATATACTGTCAATTATCAGCCTTATACTACATGGAGTCAGTGATCCACCTGCAATATTCGTGTCTTTAAGCTTGTCCTTCCCCTCCCCCCTTTGACTCCGCACTTGACCCCATCGTATGATCTGGGGTAAGTTGCTCTCTAAAACCAAGATCGAAACTAACACCTCGCTCTCCTAGTTGCTCTTTAATTCTATTTGCGCTTCGTGCCATCGTCGAACTTATCTTCTTCTCGCCAAAAGCCCCACCCTTTGATCCAACGCGCAACCAACCATTCGTCGGCGCAATCATCGCAAGCAACCTCTTCTGCATGATCTTCCACGCCCTCGTCATCAACCCCCAAGCCGGCGAAGAAACACGCGGTTATCTTCACGGCGGGTTGTTCATCGACTTCATCGGTCAAAAACCCGTCCCAGTCCTGCGACTCCTCTCCTTCGACGTCCTGATCTTCCTCATCGACTTTATCATGCTGGCCCTGATAATCGAGCGAGTGAAGATGGTAGGGCCTACCACTCCACCAACAACGACCACAGACCAAACAACTACAAACACAAACTCCAATCCCGCCCAACCTACCGCCCAAGACCAGGATGCGGAGGAGCGGGGCATGATGCGGGGAACCGACGATACCGAGACTGGGGACCCTGAATCAAACACAGCAACCCCTCCACCCATCACAGAAATAGACGACGATGTAAATGATGAACGAACAACCCTCCTCGCAGAACCGGGCGAAAGCGACGCCTCGTATACGCGCGACGGCCACCCGCTCGACACTTTCTCCGCAGGACAAGCCGTGATTGTGGATATGGGCTTTTTGGGCACGATACGAGATCAATGGAAACATTCCGTGACCACGCAGCGCCCATCATCGGGATTCGTTCCGTCACCAGAAACTGCGACGTTCTTGCGGCAAAGGTTTGGTCTGCAGGTTGGGACTGATGGACGAATTGCGCGAGTGGACCGTTAGATCGCTGCCATGTACTACCGAACCTACCCATCCATATCACAGCCATAAGTGCGCTTTCCAGATACCTTGTATTTTAGCTATATTATATGAATCCCATCTAGCGATGACAACTGCTGGCATTCAATAGCTGCCTTCGGCAAAGCCTTAAGTAATAGAGATGAGATCCTTGTTTGAATACCTAGGTATCTAATCATGAAATGGTATAATACAGTTCCCATGTCATCCCAACCCGGCGAGACCACTCTCACCCCGGATTTTTCCCTTCCAAGGGAGGCAAATTACTCCTTCTTCTCCCCCTCCCCATCAGCAGGCATCTTAACCCTCCGATCAAGAATCTCATCCACAATCCCTCTCTCCAACGCCTCAGCAGCCCCCATAAAATAATCCCTCTCCATGAGCTTCTCAATCTCGTCCAAACTAAGCTTATTCGCCCCGGTCAAATGGCGCTGATAAATCTGATTTAGCTGTTCGCGCACGCGCAGGATTTCCTTCGCGTGGATCGCGATGTCGGTTGCTTGCCCGAAATATCCGCCCGAAGGTTGGTGGATCATTATCGAGCTATGTGGGAGACAGTAGCGTTTTCCCGGGTGGCCGCCGCAAAGGAGGAGGGAGCCCATTGAGGCGGCTTGGCCGACGCAGATGGTGCTTACTGGGGAGGCGATGTAGGTCATTGTGTCGTAGATTGCGAGGCCTGTGGTGGGTGGGTGGTTTAGGTATTGGCATTGGTGGGGATTGGCGCGTAGAAGGAGTACTCACCTGCTGTTACGGAACCGCCGGGTGAGTTGATATATAGATGGATGGGTTTCTGGGGGTTATCGGCTTCTAGGAAGAGGAGTTGGGCGACGATGGAGGCGGACATGGATTCGTCGACTTCGCCGTTCAAACAGATGATGCGTTCCTGTTTGTTTGTTAGGAGCTTATATAACATGAGCGTGTATAATATGTTTTTCATACCTTAAGCAACCTGGAAAAGATGTCGTCTGTGTTGATTTAAGAGGTTAGTCGCGCGAGCTCAAGACTAGATGCGCATTGCGGGACATACATGTGTGCCAGCCACCTCCCTGTTCATGAATTTAGCTAGGCCACTATGTGAGTGACTGGGGGGGGTTCTAAGAATCAACGTACAACAGTCTCAGTCACGAATGGAGTCGGCGTCCAGCCCCGCGGAGGTGTGCGGTCGTAGGAGGGAGCGGAGATGGAAAAGCATCGCGCAGCGAAGGGTCGGAGGGATGGAATTGGGGCGCGAGGAGTTGAGCGTGCCAGACGCTGAAGCGAAGATGTTGGGCGCATTGTCAGGACCGCGGACAGGGATATTGTGAGTAGGTGAGTTGAGGTTGAGGTTGGAGCTGGAGTTGGAGATGCGAAGGGGAAAGGCGGTGCGGAGCTTGCGATAAGATAGCGGACATCCCATGGGCAACCTTACCTTAACCTTAAGGTAAGGTAACACCCTCCCTACTACTCCATTTCTCTATGAAATCCTTTTTTCATCTGCCTGCGAGCCCTCGGAATTACAAGAGTATGACCGAGTCTGTCCGAAACACCCCTAACACAAGCCGCTAGTGAACATGGAGTGTGGGGTTGGGATGAACAGGCTACTGCTACTATTCGTCTGTTGGTCGAACATGGAGTCAATTTCGATCCAGTGTGTGGCAGCGTAGTAGGCTTGGGCAACCGATTGCAAAGCCTTTCGAGGATGGATCGTCTAGAGAGAGGGGAATTTGTGCGGAAGTACTGGCCATTAAGGACGCAGTCGTTTGATGACCAACAGGTATGGGCATTCTTTAACCATTTGAGAATATCGGAACTTGAGTATCATCCAGCAAGAAGAAGAGGAAATCAGTGGCACTTTTGCAAGGCAACACCACTCATGTGGTGGTTGTAGGGAAATACAGGAATCTGGCCCGCTTGCTTTGTAAAATGGGAACAAGATTCGAACTCCGGGACGACTTGGAAGAACGGCTTTGTCTCTCGCGGTAGAAAAAGGGGACCCAGAGATTATCGAACTGTCATTGACATCAGGGTTGGCAAAGTGGTCGGTCCATGAGAATTTTGAGCAACTCTTTCAGTCTGCGGCGACAAACGGCAACAGTGCTGCAATCGAGATTTTGCTATCAAAAATAGCTATTAGTCCCACGGCAGGAAGATCAGCCTTGATTTCATCGGCAGCTGCGGGAAGCGCCGACGCTGTTCAACTACTTCTGAAAAAGGGCTTTCGCGCTGATCTTCAGGATGAAGCCGGCAGAACACATTTTCATTATGCCGCTATTCGAGGACATGAAGAAGTTGCCACTGCATTTATAGGAGCAAATATATCAACCTGTGACGATGTAGACAACAATGGCCGAAAACCCCTGTTCTGGACAGAACAGATGAACTGTTTGTTTGTTGCTAAGGTCCTCTTCTTGGCTAAAGCTGATTCTAATACTAAGGAAGTGGGGGGGGATTCTATCCGGTTTCGTTTGAAAAGCTAGATTTTGCTCGCTATTCTGACTCGAATGCAGAAGAAGAATACGTTGACGAAAGTCGAGTGGATCTCATAAGTAGTAATGAAACTGGTGGTCATCGCCCTCTCTTCTTTGCTGCTGGAAATGGAAACCATAGGATGACGAAGCTGCTGCTCGGAAATCACGGAGCGAATTCAAATATACAAGACAAATATGGGGCGACTGCTTTGTGTTGGGTTGCAGGACAAAGATGTGAGATAACCGCGAAACTAGTTTTGGATGCAGAAGCTACCCCGGAGCCTCTAGGGGATTCAAACCAGGCTCCCCTACTCTGGGCGGTTGGTTCTCAAGGCGGTTTTATCAATGACAGACTTCGTCGAGGAGTTACAGACTTTAGGTTATGGGATCAAGGTGGCTCCTCTTCCAAGTGATGATGCAACAATCGTGGAAATATCGCTTGAATACGGCGCCAATCCCAGGGTATTAGGTCGCATGTGGATAGATATAAAGATAATGAAAGGTGTGCGTGATGAAGGCAAAGAAGGGAGGCTGGTATAGGTGGATCTTGATAGCTTGAGGCAGACGCCTCAACACAAGTTGAACAATTGGTCGAGCCAATCATTATTGAAAATCTTTTAAAAAAGGAGAGTTTTCATTCTTTCCATCCTAGCAAGTCTCAAGATACTATCTCATACTATCCTCGACTGGAGAAAAACGCGCAGGGGGAGGTAGGTACAGCAGCGACCCACTCTCTCCGTGGAGGCAGTTCTGCTTCAACGCCGGCGTCGGAAGAAGAAATTTCATAAGGCTTGATGGAATAAATCTTTAGTATCTGGCTGACTGATAGAAAGAGCTCCAGGTATGCAAAGCTGGTTTTTACATAATTTGCCCGTCAGTCTGAAATTTAATAAATGGAAATTTGAAGGAGGAATCAAGGATATAGTACTACTTACTGAACTCCGACACATGTGCTAGGACCCTTTGAGAAAGGTATGTAATATTCGTTTCTCCGAGTAGCCGCTTGCTGTTCTTCATTCGATAGCCAACGACTTGGGCGATATTTATGTGGTTCCGGAAAGGTGGTTTCGTCGTGTAGATACCAGATGGGCGAGCTAGAGATCATCACCTGTCACACTAGGTCAGCTAGGTGGCCTAGATTTAGGTCTCTTTTGAAAAGTCTTACCCCTTCTGGTACGTGCTTCCCATCCAATTGAGAGCCTCCTTTTGGAACAATCCTGGGTAGCATGGCAGCAGCGGCGCCAGTCCATCTGACTCCCTCTCTGACACATGCAACCAACAGTGGAAGGGACTCAAGCGCCGCCATATCTGTGGGCCAGTTGGCTATTTCTAGCTCCGAGAAAATCTCATCTTGGAAACCTTTATTGAGAGAAAGCGCCCAAAGTATATGGGCGAGCGTAGCTGAAGTGGTATCCGTTCCAGGACCAAGCATCTCTTTGGCCTCCGACAGGGCAGACTGGGTCGAGAGCCTCGACCCGGCCATTGTTGCGAGAAATGAGATTCCGGTCCCCTTTTCGAAGTCAAGGGATACTTTTAACTGATTTTCTGCCCACTGGAAGACGTCTCAGCAACTGAAAGTATCCTAGGATACAGTAGATACTAGAAGCAAGATCTGGCATAATACTTACCTCTTCAAACCCTCTGTTCGTTACGACCAAAGAGATGTCAAGTCCAGTAAGATCGAAAATCTTATCAGATAGCAAGTAATATAAATGTGTTGTAAAAGGAAATTTAGTATACTAGAATTGAAAGGAAATGATGGAAAAATTAGCAGACTCTTATCGCAGTATCAGCTGGTATGCATACAAGCGGCATTTTTGACGACTTCAAATCATTTTCCTTGATAATATTCAATTCTGTTCCAGTTTTCAAGGAATCTATTGCTCCGATAGCGCTTCCAAATGCGAATCTCGCTATGCGTCCACTAATCAGCTAGCCCCAACAACTCAAGGAATTGAATTTTACTCACATACAACATCGGCTTCGAGAGCCCGACAGGTAGGTACAAGGTCGATGGGACCTTTTTGAATCAGATCCGCAAGCAGTTTGTTGAAATTGGAGATCTGATCTAGCATCATGGGAATCAAAGCTGGGACCCGGCTCCGGTTGAAAAGCACACCCATATGCCTACGTCGCTGCGCATGCTCTTTGGGATCGCTAGAATGACAGAGTCAGACCGAAATTGATAATAAAATACATTTTGATACTCACGTAATTGAAAATAGCGCTGGATGCCCATCTTGAACGAATTGACCATAGACTCGACTGTCTTTGGTAAAAGCACTGCCGGGTGCGTGGACTTTCTTATAGATATCCAGAGAGTAAAACGACAATTCATTCGGACCAATTCGCACCAAGGGCCCTGCAAAGAAATTAGATCTCAAGCTAGATATGATGATGTTTGAATGTTCGCATCATAGTTACCGAGCTTCTTGTGGAGTTTCGGGAGTTCCAGTGTTAGCTTTCCACGGTATTCTAGTGGGAACTCCCATAAAAACCGTGAAACCGGAGCCAGTAGACCAGCCTTAGGTATCTGCGACAAAGGCGAAAGGAAGTATTCATAAATACACTACTTATTTTAGTCAAGGGTTCCAGGGGAAAAAAATCAAAAATTCCCTCACCTTGATGATAATCGTACAGGCAATAAGGAGTGTACTCCAGACCCAAACTGCCAACATTTTGCGATAATTCCTACAGTGAAAGATTGGGCTAAATTCCCTATTTTAATCATGAAAAAGGCCTCCCATCGCTTGAAACTTCCGAATCCTCTATTTTATTTCATAGGCTGAGATGGAGAAAAGCTCGTTTAGCGATCAGGTAATCGTTTGCTAGAATAGCGCAACTCCGTCGGGAAGTGGCATAATACTTCACCACACAATGGCAATCTTTCTATACGCTAAGCCATAAACTAGGATTTTCGAGCGGCAGAGGCCTTAAATCAGCATAGTAAACGTTGCACCATATCGGCGCTTATTTCGTCACGATAATTTTGACTCTTTCCCCTATCCTCGGATTGTCCGCGGGTCCCGTGGACGGACTGTGGTACTTATTTGGGAAGCGGTCGAACTGCTTATTAAATAAACTATCGTCCGGTGCCTTTTCTGCTTCTCTTTTTGCAAAATCCTGTTTCTGATACATTTGGATATCTGTTGGTCGGTCATGGCGGATGTCAAAGAGCCTAGAGTTTCTTCCTCTTTGGAGGACAATACTAACGACGAGTCTACTCTGGTGAGGAAGTTCAAATCAACTGAGCGCTGTGAATTATCTAACCAGACTACCTATTTAATGCAGGAGCGTCTAGGGTATAAACAAGTTCGTTCAAATTCTGCATTTTAAAGGGGCTTGCAGCGAACTCCGTTCTAACAACTAGGTTGATATAGGTCCTTCATCGCAGCTATTCCTTATTTGAGAATTTTTCGACCTCATTTGGTATGAGTGCTTCTCGTTCTGAATTTTAGCTTTCATATTGCTAATAGTACGTCTTCCTAGCTGCTCTATATTTCGTTGGCGGGGTGCGAGTAACCTTTTCCACTGGGATCGCAGCTGGAGGTCCTCTGGCCTACTGGTAATTACCGACAATCCTGCGCAAGATACATCCGATTTCCTATTTTCATTCTAATAATAATATAGGACAAGTTACATTGTGACTTGTGTATTCACATTCATCACGGCTGCCGTTATTGCTGAAGCGTGTTCTGCTTCCCCAACCTCCGGTTCAATCTATCTCTGGGCCGCAGAAGCTGGCGGTAAACGATTCGGACGCTTTTTTGGTTTCATTGTTGCTTGGTGGAGCACAACAGCCTGGACAACATTTTGTGCTAGTATGTTAGCAATTTTCCATCATGAGAAGTTTGCTAATTCACATCTCATCATAGGCAACACCCAATCAGCTGTGAACTACATGCTTTCGGTAAAAACCCCTCAAACCAATCTCTGAGCCTTCTCTGACCGAAAATAGGAATTGAGTGTTTTCAATGTTGATTTCCCAACCGACTCCTCCAGCATCAAGTTTCGAGCAGTCCAATGGATATGTACCGAGGTACTCCTTGCTTTGGCAGCATTGATGAACCTCGCCTCTCGTACGCCTCCAGTCAAAGCCCTATATTTTAACAGTCACTAAAAAAATTCTAGCACGAGTCTTCAAGTACGTCTTCTGGTTTTCTACCGGCGCCGTCTTTCTGGATTTTATCCTGAACGTTATATGGCTTCCTGTCGGGGCTCATAACACTTACGGCCTGAGAACTCCACAGGAAGCATTTATGACAACCTATAACGGCACAGGAGCACCGGCTGGTTGGAACTGGTGTCTTTCATATCTTGCAACGGCAGGTATTTTGATCGGATTCGATGCCTCAGGACATGTCGCAGAGGAAACTAAAAATGCGTCTGTCAATGCGGCGAAGGGTATCTTTTGGAGTACGGTAGTTAGCGGCGTGCTTGGTTTCAGCGCCGTTATCCTGTTTCTGTTTACTTCTGTGAGTTTGAAGCAGTAATCTTACAAGCTACCAAGTGTAGTTGCTAACTCAAAATCTAGCCTCCGATTGACGTTCTCTTTTCCTATGATGCGCCCCAGCCTTTCGTCCCCCTGTATGCTGCGGTTCTAGGTCGCGGGGGACACATTGTAATGAATGTCCTCTCGGTCGTCGCACTTTGGCTTGTGAGAAAATTTGATAATTTGAGTCCTCGTTACATGGATAACATGCTAATGAAGAGGTAGAATACGGCAATCGCAGTCACTGCCGCCTCTCGGCTGGTCTTCGCCGTGGCCCGCGACGGTGTTCTCCCTGCATCTGGATGGGTATCCCGAGTGTCAGCAGAAGGCCAACCTAAAAATGCCGTCCTTGTGGTCTGGGGTGTCGCTGCTGTCATCACTTGCACAATTTTGCCTTCTGCAGTAGCCTTCACCTCTCTGGTGTCCGCAGCAGGAGTTCCATCTGCTGCAGCTTATGGGCTGATTAGTCTGGGCCGATTATTTTTGACTCCAAATGAGCCACTAGATGCGAAATGGTCACTTGGGCGATTGAGTAAGCCTTTCCAAGTCATCTCAGTGTTTTGGAATGGCTGGGTGGTTGCTGTTCTCTTCTCGCCATACTCCTTCCCCGTGGAGGCGTCTACTTTGAATTGTGAGTATTTTTTTTTCTCAACCTCGGAGATTCTTTGGGGATGCTAATTCAGACGTTCAGATGCGCCGATTATTTTGGGCATCGTGACCATCTTCGCAATTGTGTCATGGTTCGCCACACCTGCCGATGCGTGGGTTCCAAAGGGCCGACTGGCGAACTCTGCGGGTATAGATCACGCTGAATAGGCACTACGCAGGGTAAAATCGAGGAGTGTACTTAGGTACTTTAGATCAGTTAATCGCTTTGAGAACGCCTGGGAAAAGATGAGAGAGAATATAACCATATCATCGTCCACGGTGATAGATTAGTCTCTTAGTATTATGTGCAGCATTATCAGATTCTGGTTAGGCCAATGATAGCCGGATGGCACTTATTTCCTGGAACGTGAATAATAAGATACGTAACCAATCGATTCTGACTTAAGGCCTAACATATTCCAAAGCTGTATATCCAGCGGCTGCTAAATTTTAGATCGACCGGAGATGGCTACCTTAAAGAGTATACATGCCGAAAGCGCCTACAACAGATCAGCCACCTGAAGGGTATAGCCAACGGAGGACTGTGAGCAAAAGAAATGTCATAATGACGAAAATGAAATCAAATTGATATTAAATATGCCGAGGCCTTGCTAGAACTATGTAACAATAAATCCAATACAACGGATCTGTTTCTAAATTCATTCCCACCCCGGAGAATTTATCTCTCTGCTGCTACCTTTAAACAGGCTAGTCAATCACGTTAGAAGGGAACCCCGCTCATGAAATGAAAATCTCCGAAGAAAACTCGAACACAGTAAATACGGGCCCTCGATCCAACCTCATATTTTCCCATTTTCGAAATTGACACGAGAATCATGCTTGGACTCCGTACGGCTGCGATCTTGCTAGGCTTTCTGCCGCACCTCTACGCCACGTCCGTATCAGAAACAGGACAGAGCCAATTTTCTAATATGAGCAAACGATCCGTCGTCTGTCTTAAAGTTGGCGCTACTGCAGTGGCAACTTGGGAAAACAGTGCCGGTCAAACTTGTTCGTTTACTGGGCTAGTTGGCAGCAACTACGGCGAAAACACGGTCAATGGCGGAGAGTATGTATACCTTCTCATCCATAACGAAGAAAAATTGCATTGGCGGCTTTAATAGAAGTAGCTAAGAATACTTTTACTTGCAGATACTCTTGTAATGGCCGCTGTGGTGCAGGATGCAGTGGGACTGCAATTGGGAATGCATACACACAAGACTGTTTCTCGCATGACATCTGCTCTTACTTTGAGAATGCTAGTGGGGGATCAAGGTGAGAACGCAATGATCTAAAAATAATATGGCGACTGTGATAAGTGATTACTGATTACCTGGGACTTTCGCAGTGATCCTAACTGTGGTGCAGCCTATGATGCCGCCATTGATGATACTTTGTTTGGTGTTACGTCTGGTTGCTCTCAGACTAATCCAACTGAACAAATTCAGAAACCTGTGTCGAGCCCTGTTTGCCAGTAAGGATGAGAGTGCACTACTTGATTTGGAGGCACTTGAGCATATGCAACACTATAAAGCAGGCGTGGCTATGACTCAAACTTGAACAGCTGGTAAACTTTCTGGTCCATAGCCACAATCAACCTGGTATTTCAGCACGCGACTCTAAAGAACTGCACCACATTGGTTAAACTAAAGCGATTTCTCAATTACCAAAAATACCGTACTCCCTCATGTCAGATTAGGAAAAAATTCTCTAGCAAAGGGATATTCAAAGCTCCCAGATTATTTTGGAAATCAGGACCGCCCGGGATAAACGGTTCGCCGTCTTTCTGCATTCAAATTGGCCAGATAATACCCTTAATCGTCTCTCCAGGCTTGTTTTCAGGTTCAAATTCAGCTTTCTTAATTTCATATTCATTGCCATTGTTATGAGGGCCAGAAGCTTTGTGGTGGTGCTGTCGGGAGTATTGGTTCCAATGTCGGTGCCGACAGGGCCATTGAAGGCATTATAGCAGGACTGGGCGGTTTACTGGAAGTTAAGTTGCGCGTGGGGCAGTCGATTTAATCAATTCAAGCAATATCAACAGCAAGCCAGGAAAAAACAGAAAAAAGTGCAGTCGATTCGAGTTCCCCGCAAATGGGACCCGCTGATTGGTGGGCCTCACGCGGTAGAAAAAACACCTCGCCGCGCCAACTCTTTCCTCCGCATTGTCTCCGCACCATCATGATGGACTGCGCAAATCACAGGCTTTCACATGCAACCTTGCGCCTGCGCATATTTCGCCAGATATATACCTCAAATACAGGATCACGGTTTCTGAGCCGTTCAATCTCAACCTCACCCGCGCAGCTCAGTCAAGCTCACGATAAAGCTTCATTCCCGACTCCACCAGCACCCAGCAGCTCAACCAAAGACTACATCCCTCTCTCCCAAAGCCTACCACAATCTCCCGTGATCACACACCCCCGCTCCGGAATCAAGAAAGTCCACAAACCACGCTCAGAACCCGAGGATATTGCCGAACTCAAGAAGAACCCATGGGCCGCCGCGCTTGCGTCGCCGGTGCGCTTCTGCGTCACGACAGGAACACGATTACCACGCCGTCTGATGGGCGTTTATGGACTGATAAAACGACCTGATACAAACCACAGCTATATGTTGCCTTTGGATCTTCTCAGAGACTCGATTCAACACCGCCCGGCCGAGAGCAATAACGAGAGCGAGTCTCCGACGCCAGAATCCGAAACAAGTGCCGATACCGACGCGGCGCCTAGCGGGAATGTTCCCCCTCCGATACCTCGTGGCAGGCAATACAGCCCTTCTCTTCACATGGTTACCCTCCGCCCTCTTATGGAGGCAGTGACGCCTCATCTCTCAGGCAAAGGCAAGAGGTCAGGCGTTTCCAAGTTGATTCCGTACCGGTGGAAAGCGCCAGTCGGGCCTCTCAATGGCAATGATTTGAGGGATTGCGTGTGGAGACCCGATATGGCGGATTACCTCCTGCGACAGATGAGGAAAGATATCGTTAAGAGGCTGGTTAATTTCAGTAAGCAACTCGAGAAGGACCAGGACATTGTATGGAAAGCTTTGGATATCGATGAATATTCGGATTCTGCTCTCGGTGCCGCACTTGGCGGTATGGGGCCGGTAGAACATGAGGCGAACGGCGCAATCCTCCTTTTTGGTCCGAAACCCGAACATGAGGCCGAGTCGGGCCCTGTCCCAACGACTGTCATTCATCCTCGAACCCAAACTACGATCCCAGTCTTTGACTTGTCAGTGCTTCTTTCCGCGAATGAGCTTGAGACGATGCGTGCGAGTCCAAATTCACATTTGGAAAGCGAGGCTTTGTTTTTCAGACCCAATGATGGCCGTGAAAATACAAACTTGATGCTATATTTGTGGAAACTGCAGCGCTACGTTGCCGAGAATGCTTAATTCATATCTTGGTACGGCTATGATTATAATTTGTATAATATAATATTTTGGTCAACATGCCCTCTTATTAAACAAGCTTGTGCGACGCGGGGATACCCCAACTCATCCCCACCCCTCCTCTATCCAATGATGTACATTATTCCGCGGCTTAATTAACACGTGGCATAATATAGCTGTCTTATATGCGATCAGTCTAGACTGTGTCGCCGGCATTTTATTGGCTTTACAACCGGATTTGGCCCCCAGCTTGGCCCCGCAGGTTGGAAGCATTTAGTTGCTATATTGAACTATACTTGGACACCGGGCGCCTTGCCACGGTTTGGAACCAATTAGCCTCTTCTCAGAGATGATTAGCATTCACAGCAAGTGGCCGGAAGGGTGGGACCTAGTATCTACTGCCACAAGCGAAAATGCAGCGTGATTCCGGGACTGGCATTCTGCCCCGGAGCTGACTATATGAGAAGCGCCAACCCCCTCCTTTCGTTCTTCATTCTCACTATTCAACTCTCAGCCTAGAAGGGGAAAAAAAAATTGATTCAGCACTGAATCCCCTCCTCGGAGACCGCCATGTCCTCACTATACTTCCAAACCACACCCACCACCTCCATTCATGCTCAAATCATCCTCACAACGGAGACGAACAGCCAAAAGCCTTTGGTTGTCTTCCTTCATTACTGGGGTGGCAGCTCTTCAACATGGCACAAGCTCACAACACCTGGCACATCCACCTCATTGACAGCACTATATCCCACGCTTGCGATAGACCTCCGAGGTTGGGGCAAATCGACCGGACCAGCCGGCGTCAACGAGAAGGAGTATTCTGTTACAGCGATGGCAAGCGATATCGCCACCGTTCTGTCTGAAATGAAGACGGAATCTAATCATCCAGACATTTTTCAAAATGGCTTCGTCTTGACGGGCCATTCGATGGGCGCGAAGGTCGCACTCGCCTCCTTGTCTCTTTTCTCCGCGGATCTACAGGCTCTTCTAGTAGGGGTTATCCTTGTTGCGCCTGCGCCTCCGACGGCTCTTGATCTGCCCCCGGATATGAAGGCCCAGCAACAGGTCGCGTATGAATCTGAAGATGCTATTCGGTGGACTGTTGCGAATGTCCTGGCAAACCCCGAGAATTTGACCGATTTCGACACTTCTCTCATAGTTCAGAATAGTCTCGGCGGTAATCCACTGGCGAAGAAAGTGTGGCCGATGTATGGAATGCAAGAGGATGTTTCTCAACAAGCGGCGAAAGCTTTGAGTGCTTGTTCTGGTCTTCGGGCGAGTATAATAGTGGGCGAATTGGACGTTGTCGAGCCAAAGGAGCGCGTCGAGGCCGAAGTTGTCGATTTTCTCACCAAAAATGGCGTGGAGGTGACTTTCAAGACAGTCAAAGGTGTGAGGCATTTAATTCCTCTCGAAAATCCAGTCTCCATATACGACGAAGTGTGCAAGTTTTAAATCATGTGAGGAAAGGATGTGTATATGACTTGTCTGTATCAAATGCATATAACCACGAAGCAACCAAGCCTCTAGAAAATTCCATCTATCATCACGTCGTCTATATGAATGCAACCATCATCGCTCACTTACAGACCCGACCCCAGCAGATCCGAGAGTTTATCCAAGTAAGCATGCGGGCGCACAGGCCCAGATTCAAAGTCCTCCTTGGAGCTAACACCAGTCAAAACACCAAGCGTGCCACCAAGCTTACCCTCCCTTCCGAACCGAATATCAGTATTGGCGCGATCACCAACCATGCAAGCCCGGGACCGATCGAATTTGAACTTGCCCTCGATAGCATCCATCATAGCCTGGGCAGGCTTACCCAACGCCGTCGGCTCCTGACCCAGCATCATAATCAGCGGCGCGCTCATAGACCCCGCGCCCGGGAAAAGAGTCCCGGAATTAGGCAGGGTGGAATCGATATTTGTGGCGAGGAACACGGCGCCACGCTTGACGTAGTGGTACGCAAGGGCCAGCTTGAGGTAATTGAGGTGGAAATCCAGACCGACGAGGACGACGCCGACTTCTGGGTCTCAGGATTGACTCATCTCCCGCTGCGATGAGCTTGTAGTCTTCGGGCTTGACGTCGCGGCGATAGGCGGGGTCTGTGCCGCCGATGAAAGGGACATTCTCGGAGCGGAGTTCTTGCTCGATGCCTGTTTCGCCGATCACATAGACTTTGCGCTTGTTTGCGGGGAGTTGGAGGATGCGCGAGATGTAGATTGAGGAGCTGTATGAGGAGGAGAAGACTTCTTCCTGTGTATGTTGTGAGTCATTTGCGGGACTGGTGTGATATTTGCGGTTCTTGGGATGGTTCTTGGGGAAAGGAAAGGGTCGGGACGAACCACTGTGCTGGGGATACCGAGGCCCTCGAGTTTCTTGCAGTAGTCTGCGCGAGACTTTGTGCTGTTATTTGTCACGAAGACTACTTGTTTGCCTGTTCTGGGCGTCAGTATAGCCTCCCTTGAGGTTGTAGTTGTGGTCTGGGTGATTCGCATACCATTGTTGCGCAGGAGCTCAAGGGTTTCGACGGTACCGGGGAAGCAGTGGTCACCGGACCAGAGCACACCTAAATGATCAAATGTATCTCAGCCATTGTCGCATGCTTAGTGGTTCGTGGGAGTCGCGAAGGCGGGGAGAAGGCCGAGCTCGAGGGGTGCGGGGGGATATGGCAACGAACCGTCACAGTCGAACAGGAAGACCTGGATTGAGAGACAGAGTCAGTCAATTGATTTCATGGCGTATAAAGATAAGGGGTAGTGCCAGACACTCACATCAAATTTGTCCAGGAATTCGCGGAGACCGGCCTTGTCGCCGGACAAGTAGAGGGGCACGTCGGATGCGGGAGTTGACTCGGTCATGACGGGCGGGGAGAGCAGAAGTTTCGCGAGAAGGGGGCGCGAGATGTGTAGAAGGTCGAAGGGAGGATGCCAGCGGAGCGAGTTCAAGACATACAGTAATCATCAATCAGCAATGATGGTCCGTACAACCCGAGGACCAAATCGACTCGCCGGTGACGGCCAAGCGGAGCGGAGGGTGGGGCTCTTCCCATTGCCGTGGGGTTCAAAGTATACCCAAGTAGACATCGATTGTCGTGAAGGCTCTATAATAACGAGACAGTATGATACTGATTAAGAACATCCAAATTCCACCAGTGGCTGGTATTGTATCTGCGTCTAGTACCGATTTCCAAGCATTTCCCCAGGTTGTGATAGAGTTACGCGATTTCTACGGTATAAATCACCTGATTATCTTGTACAGACAGATACAAAATTGGAAGGCACGATTCACTGAAGGCAACCACAACTAACAAACACAAGAGAAAAAAACGAAAGGAGGGAAGCAATTCCGAGTGCTGGAATTGATCTTCTGACCTGGACAGGAAACAAAAACAGCAAAAAGGTGGTTCAAGGCAGCCACCAGCATTTCATCAACCAACCTAACCGCTCTTTCCCCCAAACGGGTAGGGTCTTGGAGACCCCTAGACCATTCGGAGATACGATGCCAGGATGGTCTACTTTTCCCAATTGTAACCGATGCATTGTCCACTATTGGTGTCTATTCTACAGTAACCCAGCAGACCCTAACGCCCTCCACCAGGCACACCTGATTATCCTTCAACGAGGTTGAAGTGGTAAAGTTTAGAATGATATCACTCGTGCCTCGAAAGTTAAATACCATTGAACTGACCCTTGGCCTAGATGCCTATCGAGGATCCTCTACCCACTTGGGCAGGGGATGTTTCGTTGTCCGACTGATTTCCAGTAGGCATCCTGGTATATGTACAAAGGACCCACCTGGACAGAGCTTAGTGTGGGTTCTACTAGTTAGGAATAGAAATTATGTCCGAGAATAACCCCCAAGGCCTCAAGCACTTTAATTTACTTTGATCATTCTTCCAGGAGGCGTAATGCCTCGTGGATGACCCACAGATCGACAGCGGCGACTAGTACTATAAGAGAACTGGAATCAGGAGATCCCGAATATCATCTACGCGGAACAGCATACTTGTTGAATCCACTGAGAGGAATTCTCATTTCGATGCAAGGCCCAAGCCTGCATTATTTCACCTCGCGTCAAGATAAATCTAAATCTCCACTATTATCAAAGAATACTATATAGTTCGATGAGATCACCCTCTGCTCAACTTGAAGCTGCCTCCATCATCTTTCTTCTTTCAATAACCTTGGAAAACCTTGGAATCAACGGCAGTTCGAACCCGAATTCACGGTTGCCGAACATGAAACTCCTCGCCGGGTTTTTAGTTGCCAGCTCGGTCGTTTCAGCCAGCAATAAAAACACCTCGTCAGATTTTCCTGGAACCCAATCCACGTCCACATCCTTGGGAAACTACAGCCTGCCGATTCCATCTCTCGTGACTTTTGGCACCGGGGTTATTGGCGGCTTGTTTCGCCCAGATCTGCACCAGAATCCAGCCAAGGCCAAGATAGGTGTTCTCGTCATGCATGCCGAACAAGACTATACCACTTTTTACCCTTGTAGCGAGCTACCCGTCCGTGGTTATACAACTCTTTGCCTTAACAACGCGCAAAGCAAAACAGGTCTCATGAACGATCTTGACTTTGAGACTATGATGACCGATGTTGCCGTCGGTGTCAATTATTTGAACAATCTGCCGGGCATTGACAAAGTTGTTCTGTGGGGCCATTCTGGTGGCGGTGCAATGATGGCTGCATATCAAAATGTTGCAGAGAATGGCGCATCCGCTTGCAATGGCACAGAGAAAATCTATCCTTGCTCCGCAGCCGTCGACAATCTGCCTGCAGCGGATGGTGTTCTTCTGATTGATGCCAACTTTGGTCTATCGACCATGACTCTCCTATCCGTGAATCCAGCCATCGAAAATGAATCTACTGGCACCAAAATCAACAATACTCTGAATCTATATAGCCCTCAGAATGGGTGGACAGAAAATGGCGCAAATTACACTTCGGAATTTGCTCATCGTTTCCTCGACGGTGTCGCCTCTCGATGGGAAAAAATAGTTTCATTCGCAGAAGAGCGAAATCAACTCATCAAAGCCGGCAATGGTGACTATACGGATGATGAAGGCCTTGTCATCCCCGACGCGAATTATCTCGGCTTCAATAATAAAATCATCAGCCAGGATACACGTTACCTAGCGCATACCGTGTACAAATGGCCCTTATTACATAAAGAAGGTCGCGTATCAACCCAAGTCGTCCCGTCGGTCCGTGTTGCCGATGCAGGAATTCCAAGCATCGTTGACAGCTTTTATGATGGCGCACTTAAAACCACAGTCACTCGCTTCCTCTCAACATTTGCTATACGGATTGATAAAACATCATTTAATGTGACAGCCGACAACATCACCGGGGTGGACTGGGCTTCGTCTCAGACTGCTCCTATTGGTAGCGTGCCGGGAATTTCAAAACCGTTGCTCACGATGGGCAACACTGGACACTACGAATATCTCAACGCGGAAAAGATCTATCTCGCTGCGAAGAGTGAAGATAAGTCCATTGCATTTACTGAAGGTGCTCAGCATACCATAAATACTTGTACTGAGTGCGAGGCATACCCGGGACAGTTCGGCAATACGGTCAAGACGGCATTCGACTTTATGGACAAGTGGCTATCAAAACCTGGTCGTTTTATTGGAGCATAATAGAAATTTTCAGTTAAAAAGGGCACGGAATAATATTTCACAGAGCATGCGATCAAGTGCAAATATATCCAAATTTGTTATCTTGTTTGTGACGAATGCATGGCAACTCTCGGTAGTCAATTCAAATACCAAAAGATTTCTAGCTCCTCACTTGAATCTACCCATTCACTCAACATGCGCGGTGACCCCCTTCTCCTCATCATTCACACTAAGTCGATCAATATCCTTCCCTCGAAACTGAGCCTCTCCGATTTCAGCCAGACTGATACCAGAAGCCCGAAGTTGCTCCAGCCGCAGTGAAGCCTCGGCTTCCTCTTCACGCTCCTCTTGTGACATCTCAGGACCCCAGAAAAGGAAGAAGAGAATGAATGCCCACACAGCTCCCATAAAAATGGCAATCACCTTACCATAGTTGAAACGTGCCTTACCGTCGGGTCCAGCAGGAAGCGGGTACCTTTCACCAATGATAGATTGTATAGTGGCTGAGGCAGATGATCCCAGGTTACCAAGTTGGTAAGTCAGTCCAACCATCAAGGAGCGAAGTGCAATCGGTGATAACTCCAGGAGATGAATGGGCATAGGCCCCCAAACTCCGCCGACGAAGATCTGCTCGAAAAACGCACTGGCGACCAAGGACATGTCGCGCGGTAAAATGTAAGCTGGAATAACTGCGCCACCAATGACGCAGGATACCATCATGGTCAATCGCCGACCAAAGAATGTACTAATATAGCCAATCGAACATCCTCCAATTAGCGCGCCGATTTGACCAACAACGGTAATGACCGTTGTTTGTGTTGCGTCCATGCCGACTTGATCTTTCAGGAAAGTCGGGTAAAAGTCCTGGCTTCCATGAGAGCACGAGTTGAAGCCCGTCATCAAGACAATTAGATAAACAAACAACACCCAATTATCCCGCAGTGCACGTCCAGCATCTCGTACAAATACTCGAAAGTCTTTGGATTTTGTGTTTCCATCCTCCGCCACTGCATTTGCGCGAGCTTCGCGTTCGGCTTTCATCACTTGAAAATGGTTTGTTTCTGGCAAATACCACCGAAATATGATGATCAGAATAGGAGGACCAGCTCCGAACCAGAACAGGCTTCTCCATCCATGCGATGTCGTCGGGACAAGAGCCCTGTAAAATGCAGCGGCAAGAAGATATCCCGTTGCATATCCCATTTCGAATAGTCCGGAGAGAAGACCGCGTGCTTCGTACGGGAGGTCTTCGAGGGCAGTAGCGGCAGCTGGTCCAAAGAGTCCTGAGGTATTTGTCAGTTTCGTCGGAGTGGGAAATGGCAAGTATTAGAATTATCTCTTACCTCCCATTGCTATTCCATACAACGATCGAACACCTAGGAATTGTGGCAATGTATTGCAGAATCCAGAGCAAAGCTCGAGAATGATAAAAATGAATAGGTTGATAATCATCGGCCATTTCCGCCCGTATCTATCAGCGAGTAATCCGAAAATAATCGCGCCGACCGACCGAAGCATGAGAGTGACGGTCATACCCTGTCTCCAAAATTAATATTAACAAATCACCGATTCAAATGGTGGGCGTGGTTCATACCCATGATACATCAGAGTAAGATACCCCAAACGCTTCCGACAATTCAGTAATTGTCATCGATACGGTGAAGAAGTCGAAAGAATCCCATGTCCAGCCCAGAAAGCCCGCAGCAAACATAAGCCATTGATGTGATGTGAGCTCTTTCAGAATCGCGTATGGATTTCGAAGTTTGTTCTAAGAAATACCTTCTTAGCAAGTTGACAGAGCTACTAAAAAGATTGAAAGCAGCACTCACCTTCGGAGGTTTAAGACTCGTCACCCGCGTAGAAAAATAACGAACAATCTGCGTGGGGGAGTAAAACCACCCGGCATCCATTTGATTCCGCATACCGTACTAATATGTGCTCTGATAAATTCCAGTGTACCCCCGATCCAAGAAAAACCGGGAACGCAAGCTTTATACCCTACATCAACCGAAGATCTTCTCCCAATCTTGTCAAATACCATCACAATTTCTTGCGCAGTAGCCATCGCACAATCCATCTTCAGGGATAGGACCCCTTCCGACGCTATTCTTGGCAAATGTGCCATCTTCAATGTCTTGGGCTGCCCTTCCCCGCTTTCTGGTGGCGATATCCGGGGAGAGAGCTTAAGCCTAAAGCTTAAGCCGAAGTGTGGGGTAATGATCCAGACCCAAGAATGTGGTTTTGCAATGAAATAATTCTATCGAGCTGTATAAAATAGTTTAGAGCTAGTTTTCAAGCAGACTCTACTTGGACGACATTTTCCGAGTCCTTAAATGATCACGAGAAATCGCCGCCATGAAGGAAATGAATACAATTGCCCGCAACTTGGATGCTATACTAGGCTTCGTATCTGCCATGTAGCTTTGTTCTCTCTTTTTCTCGCTCTCTACTTTCCCCGCCCGTCAGCCAAGACAAATAGGCGGTTGATAGTCCGCTGTCTACACAGTACGAGTAGGCATTTCACAACGGAGTGGGGCCGCTCTTAAGCATCTGTGCACCAAAGCGCCCATGTTCATTGAACCCCTTCGTCCGATACCTTTTCGTTCTGACTTTTTACTGGCTGTTAGTCTCATCTCTAAATCGGAGAATATCCGATATGCTTGGCCTATTCTATGGTGCTCTACATGGACTTGATATGCAAGTGCGATTGCCAGTGGGTGACACGCAGGACACACTTTTAATCTCGCCACACTTTCCTCCTGGCTCATGTAGTATGCTAGAAATGTTAGATTTTACGAGATAGAAAGAAAATATTGTTAAATAAGTGTAGATGCTATCATTCATCTTGATCCAAAGATAATCCTGAGCGCTAATGCGGTGAACTTTTGAACGGAGACGTTACATGCAATTGGGGAATTTGAGAAATTTGGGTGATTTTCACGAGATGGAAATGAGTGAAGGGAGTAACGTCCAGCAAGAATTAGAAAAAGTCGTGTACAATCTGGTTCTTTTGCGGATCGATGGGAGAAATTGGTGGTAAAGATTAGTTTAGCTCTCTGTTATCCTCTTCGGAAGAGGGAAACAATGATCGCATAAAGTCTTCACCAAGAGGGTCGTAGGGGAAATAGGTGTCGTCTGGTATGTGAGAATGATTGGGGTGGCCCTGGAGTGAGGGCATGAAGTCTGGCGTGGGGAGGTTGAAGTAATTTGTCCATATGTCCTCTTCTGTCGGTGGTCGTGGTCCGAATATTGATGTATCTTCCAGGTTGATGTTGAAATTATTGCGTGACTCTGACGGTCCAGCTGGGCCGAAGAAGTTTGTATTCCAGGATGATCCTTCCTCGTCGATGATTTGCCGCTCTTGGGGCTTTGAGGGTATGTCATCGGTACTGTATTTCATGCCACTGGCGAGTTTTCGGAATATGGTATCGCAAAGCTGCCATGCTCTTCGTGAGCCAATGCTCCGTTCTGACATGGCGTGAAACCATCGGATACATTTTTTTGACAATTTGACAAGATTGAGTTCCTCCTCCGGCATATGCACACTGCCAAATGAGAGTTCCAGTAGGATAACGGTGGCTGCCTGCATCAGATATCGCAGGACACACCACCAAGGACAGAGCTTATAAAGTTGCATGACGTTTGGTTCATCCGGGATGAGGTCTAGCATTGCCGACGCAGAATTCAAGGCAATGACTGCCATCATATGGCTGAATGTCGGAGGGGTATTTGATAGACGGGCATCTCGTCGACACAGACAAGGGCGTCCTAGTGTGATCCGTGCGCCATAGTAATGGAAAGCCAGGAATAGTTTGTACCGCAGCTGGTCGGGATTATCATCGGCCTCTTCCTGCGTAAAGTCTAGAGCCGCTGGCAAGCTTGAATGCCAAAGATCTATTCGCGCGAGTAGTTCATCAAGGCGGGCTTCGATTTCAGACCACAAGAGGGAAACGGCGTTGGTCGAGAAAACCTTGTTGACAATTTCTTGTGTGATGACTGTCAAATCGCAGTAGTAGAGATAGCAAAGGCCGGAGTTCGACGACATGTTTTTGAGCCAGGTTCGGTCCCTTGACCGACATTTCTGGATGTCATCCTTGCCTCCAGATTGTCGAATCCCTGTGCTTGCCATCAAGACGCTGATTTGTTCGTCCCGAGAAATGGGATCGTTGAGCATCTTAACTGCTTCTGGGTCTTCTTGCAGCTGTTCCTCTTCGAATGGCAAAGGCAGCGGTGTTGCATAGCCTCCGTCAAGGCTATAGATAGCTCGACCAGTCATGATTCCTAGCATGTGTTCGAAACTGTATAGACACCACCAAACTCTATAACGAGCCTCCTTTGCGACGTTTGGTGTTTTTGGCGTGTCGATCTTCAGATTAATGCCGAGGGTTATTGCAGAACGCACTGCCAAAGCTGAAATTCGCCATGCTCTGTTAAAAAGGCAAGTCAGTTAGCTTTAATTTCAAAGCTATAGGGGGGATATTTGGGTTGCAAACCTATTAATCTGATCGGATGCCAGTAAGTAAAAGGCGATCAAGCCCTCGACCTGGACTTGCTGAAGATCGGGATGGCTGAACAAGACTTCGCCGTTCATGCTTAGCTGCCGGGCTCGGGCCAGGTAGACTAAATGATCATTCTCATCTCCACGCCAGGGAGCACGGATGAGATGGGCATGTTTTGCTGCGATCGCAAATATTGTATTCAAGATGGCGAGCCATTTGTTGCTAGGTCTTGCTGCGCTATAGCGACCGGAAATATCGAAAAAGGTTTGGAATTGAGCTCGGAATAAAGGCTTGCTGATGATGGGGAAGAACGGGTGCACCGTTTTCAAATACTCGTCAAACAGTCGATGTGCTAATGGTCGAGTGGGCATGCTATAACGTTGAACGGGCTCGGAAACTGAAATCTCCAGGTCGTCGAGATGATAATTCAAAGCGTGAAGTGAAAATCGATCGCTGGCTGCATCCTCCTCGTCCGTAGTCGAATCTAGCGTACCAGGGTTGCCGCGAGCGCGCTGCTCTGCTTCCCTTTGAAGTCGTTGCATCCACGAGATCTCCGAACTCTTCCCCATATACCCGGTGGCTCGGGTATGCTTGGTTCGATTCAGGTCTTCCTCTACTCGGTCGATTGCATTGAGAGATCCGATAGAAGATACGGGAGATCCTTCATCGCCGTCTACTTCGTTTTGTGGTGTGGATAATTGAGAAGGTAGATTTTCAAGGGAAGGGGTGCTCCTCAACCCATGCTTAGCCAGCAGAGAGACACGGTTAGACGCCGCCATGGAACCGTATTGGGTACGACTCACCTTGTCTATTAGTCCCTTAATCCAATCTGCCGTATGATTTTCTGCGGAGTTTCGTAAATCATTCACGAAGCTTTCGTACTCTTGCAATTCTGCAGTGAGTCTATCAACGTCACTATCGTCACCCCATGGGTGGAAAAGTCAGTAAATTGCATCCTTCATTTTTAGTAGTAGTGGTAGTTGTAAATAATTTTAAAAAAGGGAAAGGAAAAGCCTACTTTTTCATTTTTTCTCTCCATCCCACGGGATATTGACAAACCGCTCTCAATTCGCGACATTGTCGACAAACCGGGGTATCTCCACTGCATTTAGTTTTGCGTGTTCTACACGACTCGCAAGCTCGGGGCACTCTGCGGTTAAACCGGGGAGTATTACCCGGTGGTTGGCGGGGAATAGCAACTTTAGCATTGGCGGTCGCTACTCCCTCCTTATTCTCTAGCAACGGAGTCGATTTGCTCGCTCTCGCTTCTCGAGATGATGAAGCTCCCCATATTGGCGGACGTTTGGGGGTTGCAGGGGCACTTTGGGGCTTGGACTGTTTTGATGGTCCTTCATTTTGTGATTTGGAGCCCTCACCCGGTGGGCTATAGTTTTGATTTTGTTGTCGTTTGCGACTCATGAGAATCAGCTCGGAGATACCTCATGAGAGGAATCGCCGGGTTATGAGGTTTCTTGAGTATTGTCTTGACAACCTGCCAGTGCGGCATCCATGGTTTTCGGTCTGAGATGCCGCCAATGACAGGCCAGTATTTGTAGAGGACAACAGAGTGGGGACTGGGGCCCAAAATGCAGAAAAAAAAACAAATTGAATAACAGTATTTAGTAGAGAGAACCAGAATAACCTCGAATATCAGGCATAGACCCATCTTATTGGTGGGAGGACATCTAATTGCCACTGAGGCTTGATCACTCTCTTCATAGAAGCGTAGGAGGCTTGAGTGATCGACGACCCGAAATAGCGGGCCACATCATTACAGCCGCGCAAGGGAGCATATCACCTACTGTAAAATCCGTTGGCTGCGTTTAATTCGTCAAATCGTTTCAGGCACCAATCTCAATCTTGCCCTGGGGTGTTTGCATTGCTTGTCCAGAGCACATCCTGCGTGCAAAGGCACCAAGGCATGGGAGGGGGCATGGCAGGGATCTGACTATACTCCGTTCTCCGACCGTAAGTGGCGCAATACTAGCATTGAGGAACATCGGGCTTGTGGTCACACATTCACAAGACGTCAGCACTGCATCTTCGAGCATTGTAGATTCTAGAAGATTTGAAACGGGACACCTGTTGATTCGCGGGTTCCGATGTCTCTGTCTCGATCAGCCTTGTGGCAGTCAGTATCTTCTAGAACTTTCATCCACCACTGCCTCCCTTCGTATTGCACTGTGGCTGACCCCACACTGCTGCGAGTTTTTCGGAACGCTGAGTTGTATGATTGGTGTGGCTGGCTCAGGTTGGACCGATGGGTCACATTATTGCCAAAGCGGAAGCTGGGGCTTGACTCTGAGCCACAGCTGAATCATGACTCTTGATGGTTTCCGATAGCTGGCGGGGCGGTAGCACTATGTTTCGTCAACAGTGTAAATACGGGAAAAGGAATCCAGTGACCCATGGTCACATTCCATTGGCAAATCCCGATGAGCCTAAATATTGGCGGAATGGTTGTCATCAACCATCGGTCCTAAACCAAATCCATCATTCTGTGAGGCCCGCGATCAGCCGGGAAGAGACAGGCTTCCTTTTTTTTTTCATTTGAAAGTGGGGCACGAAGAGGACAAATTGCGTTCCCAAGGGTTAAGGTCCCCTCAGTATAGTATATCGGAGTAAGTGGGAACCATATTGAATGCTCAGGCTTCTGTTGCTTCGTACGCCACTTCCGAGAACGGAAAGCGACATCGTTATACTGGAGGTGAGATCAACGCAATGCATAGCAGATAGAATTCCTTTCCTGTTAGTCCACTAGTGTGCACTTCATTAGCTTCATATTATGATACGTAGAAAGATCCTCACCGCCCATATGATTGGCTGGGTTGACCTCCGATAATAAAAGGGATAGCTTTGGGTGGGAACATGATTCAAGGATCAGTTCGTGCCGATCATGAAACATCGGGTTGAGATGCCGCGCATAACATTCCATAGCAGTCTGTCTCTGAGATAGTATCCCGTTGGAAATCGGCAGAGACCGTGGTGCGGCCCCGCTAGATCGAACCATATCTTCGGACCGACCGATCCGAATTTTCTGCTTCAGGGTCCTTCAAGTCCCAAACAGTGGTGAACCCATCCCGACAGTCTGGTAACTGAATAGTGGCACGACCTGCATGAGACTTTGGCACGGTCTAAGTCTTTTGTCATAGAAAAACCTTGGGGTTGACTGCTTTTGGCTTCGCGCCGTATCTGATGAAGATGCAACTTTCCCGATATTCACAAAATCAAAATGTGATGATCTGATCGTGGTAGCGAAAATCGAGTGGACTGGTGGTTAACCAGCGGATCAAAGGAACTTTTATAGAAAATAACAATTGTTCAGATGACGTTGTCCAAACCCAACTTCCCCTTGAACGGCATGATGTCATGGTAAACTCCGAGGGTCGCTTCGTCTATGGTGAGTTTTATTTTGTAATGAGTAGTGTGAATGATTCTAAGGTGGACAGTAACGTCCAACTGGAATAAAATGAAGCTCAACTCGAAGTTTTTGTTGGGTTGGTGGACGAGGTAGTGTGGTGGTGTGCTTTGGGAGGAGATCACCTCTCGACGAGGTAAAGCTATACCATCCACTACTGACATCACCTCACATGTTTCACAAGATGATCAACATGCTAAAATCCTCCACATTATTTAATTGGCCCACGAAGGACCCCTATCGCAGATGTACTATGTATGTATGTGTATCAGAAAAGCCAACACTAAAGACCCAGGCAAATGTCAGGGTATCATGATCATCCTCATTCAACAACTACTAAATGTAGATACAGAACGCCTTAATGTGTCAAAAACCAGCCAATAACGCCGTCTATCCCCACCGCCGAATCACAGAGTAGTGAGTAGGTGACGACCAGATAGAACATATGCTTGACCCGAAAAGATTCATCACTTTTCAATACTTGAATAATCAACCACGCAGGATATTAGCAATGCGGAGTGTCAAATCCAAAATAGACAGGTGCTCGTCTGCACCGTCAACCAGTCGCTTATCCATCTCGGAGAAGGCGAGGACAATCTTATTCTTCTGGATATCCGGAATAGTCTCGGTGAAGACGACTCGTCGATACAGCTTCAATAGTCAGCCACATGCTCAACAAGGAGGACAGGGAAGAGAACAGGAAAAAGTCCTCGGAGAAAGAAGCAAAGAACCTACCTGGCCAACAAGCTGCGTAGCACTCCATCCATCCGCCACAAGGTCAGTCACGACGGTAGAGACGGCATCGAACGCCGACGCACCGCTCTTCGGCTGCATCGCCTGCACCAAGCTATCTAGAACAGATTCAGGAATCACACCCGCAATCTCTTCAATACTGCGCACGGTGATGATTCCCTGATCACTCCCAGCATCCATCATTTCAGCGTCCTCGTCCGCATCTTTCGCACCGGCCTTCGCGGCCCCAGCAAGACGCGCCGCACTCTGAAGATAAGTAATAGCCCGGCGCAAATCACCCTCACCACACCGAATAAGCGTCTCAACAACACCATCCTCTAACTTCAAATTCTCCGTACGCGCAATATTGTCCAACCGCACCCCAGCCGCCGAGTTATCCAGCGACTTGAACCGAAACTTACTGCAACGACTAGCCAACGGCTCAATAATGCGAGTGACATAGTTGCAGACGAGGCAGAATCGTGTAATGCGACTGTACGTCTCCATCGTGCGGCGCAGCGCAGACTGCGCGTCCTGGGTCATACTGTCCGCCTCATCGAGGATAATGATCTTGAATGGGGGGGCAGGGGTGTTGCGCGAGGTAGGCCGCGTCAAGGCCGGTTGGTTGGGAGAGCTGTGCTCGAGCGAAGTTCTTGACTTTGTCACGGACGATGCCGATACCGCGCTCGTCGGAGGCGTTTAATTCTAGGATGCGGGAGCGATAGAGGGCGGGGCCGAAGAGGGATTTCGCGAGGGCGAGGATTGTGGAGGTTTTTCCTGTTCCGGGAGGTCCGTAGAAGAGCATGTGGGGGAGCTGAGAGATATGATGTTAGAATCGACTTTTCTAAAGGACTTTGGAGTTGGCATCGAGAGGGTTATTGCGTACGTTGGATGCTTGAAGGGTGCGTTGCAGCACTTTGGTGGTGTGGTCTTGGGCGGCGACATCGTCCAGTGTCTTTGGTCGACTAATTGAATCGTCAGCAGAGCTCAACCAAGAAGGCGCATCATGTAAAACAGAGTCGTACTATTTCTCAACCCAGGGCTGTTGCCGTGTGCTGTCTTCCTTGGTCTCGGCCTTGGCCTTTGAGCTGCTTGAAACGGCGGCGGCACGGGCCTTGTTGTTGAAGAATGTCGAGGCCATGTATTCGGTGTTGTTAAAGGTATATGAAAGCTTTCAACCCGAAATTGCGATTTTTCTGGGGTCGTCGGAGATGAGCAGTCCAGCTGTATCCGCCGCGGTGGGAGAAACGCGTCTACACGTGACACGCGCAGCACTTAGACGCGACCAATCAGGAGCCCCTGGTATACTTCATACACCTAGATTTAGTCCTTCTTTGTATCTTGTTTCACCGTGCGTGCTATTAACATCTCAGTAATGAAAATGAGTTTACATATGGGTAATGATTATTGGTTGATGTGCTTCATAATTGGCATTGGCTATCATAACACCGTGACGCTATAGTTCATCCCGGACCTCCTCTTCCCACATCCGCTTCTTCGTGTTCCGAGGTTGCTGCTCTGCTCTGGCTATTTCTTCGGGCGAGATTGGCTTCGGTTCTTCTTCCTTCCCGTCTTCGACCATTTGACCAATCTTGTCAATAATTCGATCCTCCTCGTCTTGCTGTGGGGTACGAGCATCTCCATCGGGAGTACCCCTTGGCACCGAACCTCCAGTAACAGCTGTTGCGGTCTGCTGAATAATTGAAGATATATCACTTCCAATCGGGCTCGCCGAAATTTCCGCCGGCCCACGGGATAGCCCGACAGCACCCAAAACCGTAAACATGAACTTCCAGGCGAATTTGAGGGGAAGCCATACGAGCCACCAGGTGGGTCCCCAAAGGATTCGGCGGAAGACTAACCAGCCAATTGTTCCAAGAAGAATATAGAATGCTGTCTCAAGATACCAGGTATCAGACTTTTGTGAGCGGAGAAGAGAGTTGGCGAGACTGCGGGAGGAAGAGAGAAGAGTGTCGAGGCTGCTGTAGGATTCGGAAAGAGAACTGATAGCGGCGGATGATTGTTCTAATAACCAGTATTGTCAACTTTGTTTTTGCTTCGTCCAATCATGGCATGTACTGACCGAGAGTTTCCTGGGCGAACTGGCTACGGGATAATTCCGTCCGCATGAGATTATGGGTTCGGCGCAGCGCAGCAGTAACATCACTCGACGCATTGCGCACCAGATCATCCTGTGTGAATTTATCTTTCGACTGCCTTTGATTTGTGGGTGGCGACTGCGGTCTCGAGAATAGTAGCTCCCGCTCCTTGCGCTGCGCCAGCTCAGCATTGCGCTTAGCTTGCAGCTGGGCATGACGAAATTCTCCTGGGATTCTGCAATATATTAGAATCTTTCCAAATCAGAGCACATATCTCCCATGGTATAAATTCTAATGTCCCGAATGGAGCCTATGAGACCACAACTCACCTCTTTAAATCATCCTCTAATCGCCCCGCCATGGCAATGACTCTCTCCTTCTCGGTCTCCTTCTCTCCATTTGTGCTCACAGCGGACCTTTTCCTTCCTCCGCTTTCCGCCTTGAGTGCATTGACCTCTTCTCGCAGAAGTTCGAATTCATCTTCGGCATCTTTGAGCTGGGCACGAATCTCCGCACCGAGCTCAAGACGCGCCTCGTTTCCTTGTCCAATAGACTCCGTGAAATTGCGCAGTCTGTCGAGAAGAGGCTGGATATGGCCCAGAGTAGTTGATAGCTCTTTCAGGCGGGCCTGAAGAGCAGCTGTAGTAGACATCTTTGGTGATGGGGTTCAGCGGGTCGTTGACACTCGCATTCGCTTGGTTGGGCCGAGTCGCTCAGAGGAAATAGATTCTTGGCGGAACCGGTATTTTCGTATTTCGGAATGAGTTCTCGAGATATTCAATAGACTGTTGGGTTATTATCTTGTAAATTGCGCAGTGTGTGGTGTATTATAGCACGTCGCAAGTTGACAGGTGGGCGTCGGAGTTGGGGGTGTACTCTCGCGGGCGGTCCACGTCTTGTGGCAGCATGTTTGCATCTACGGCAAACACATTTCAGTCAACGCCCGCGACTCCGAACCTCTTGAGTCCAGAACTGCCATCTTGAACTCCCAGCCGCGCAAACTAATTCTCCCTGAACCGGCCAATCAAGGAGTCTTTGTGATATCATACGATCGCAAATCCCCCATACAACCTACCAACTACCCGCGCAACCCCCCATCCATATCCTCCAACCACCGCCGCAAAAACTTCCGACTTGACGTCCGCCAACCAGGTACGCAACGATATCCGCTCTAAAGCGCATCCAATTCAATTCAAACCGGCATAATCCAATAAGATTCAATCGCTAACCGACACCTCTACTTCTTCAGCCATCTACCCACCCAACCCCCACCCAACCGCCAAAATGCCAATCCCACTCAGCACCATCACCACCTTCCGAACAACCTTCAACCCCTTCTCCCAGGCCTCCCGACCCTGCCGCCTCTTCCTCTCTCTCCTCCGCACACCCGGCACAACATCAACCAGCAGTCCCAGCCACATCGACATCAAGGTGACGCAGCTCCCGCGCAACTCGACCCAGCAGCCCGTCATGACTGTCGGTTTCAAGGGCGGCAAGGAAGTGACCCTCGAGGTCGGCAAGCGTGGTCTGAAGATTGGCGATGTTGTCGAGGAGGTGTCGCGCGTTGGTCGGTTTTTGGAGCGTGAGGCTAGTCTGAAGGGCTAAAATATTCTTTGCCTATTTCCATCTGTTGCGGAGTGCTTTTTGGGCATTGCATCTGGTATTCACCAGTCTGTCTTGTATATTATTAGCTTGTTGTTTTTTTTGGCCTCCTGGGTGTGTTTGGATTCTATCCACATTTTGTGAGGATTGTGCAATTCCTACTGCCTCGATTGTATGATATCCGATCTATAAATACTCTTTATGTGAAATATTGAACATGGAATCAATTCATTTCGCGCTATTTTGTACTACTATCACTCCGGGTATAGGCCTCAACCAGACTACAGTAGAAGAAAAATCATAAGAGGCACAAGGGAAAGATAAAAAGGAATGATGGAGAGAAACAATAGAAGCCGAAGCTCCGTTCGACGCAATCAATTTTTTCAAATATACCCCGCCGGGGTAATCCGTACGGCGGGAGCTGACAGTTTTGGGTTTGGTATTCTTAAAAACGGCGACAGGTATCCAAAATTTACACGGTAGCACCAGAGATGAAGAACCACTTGTCAACGGTTCCGTCGATGGGGGCAGGAGCCAGGTTCTCGTTCTGGGGGATAGCGGCGACCTTGCTGGGCTCAGCGGAGACGGCAGCGCCCTCAACGTTGGTGGTAGCGATGGAGATCTCGCCGGGGGAGACCTTGCCGGCAATGAGCTTCTCCCAAGCGTCAGCACACTCGTGGATGACATCGGAAGCGTACTTCTTGTTCTTGCACTCGCCGGAGAAGGCGAACTGGTTCTCGGGCTTTCCGTCGGGGATCTTGTAGATGCGGAACCACTCGTTGGTGGCGCGCAGAAGACCGGGCAGGTGGCGCTCGACGTCCTCAATGTCATCAAGCTTGGAGGCGAGAGGGTCGTTGACGTCGATGACGATGACCTTCCAGTCAGTCTCCTCCTCATCGATCAGGGCCATGACACCCAGAACCTTGACCTGCTTGACCTGACCGGGGTAGCCGACGAGCTCACCGATCTCGCAAACATCGAGAGGGTCGTTGTCACCCTTGGCCTTGGTCTCAGGGTGGACTGTGTTGGGGTCCTCCCAGGTCTAGAGCGGGGGTTGTCAGAATGCAGTTCTTCAATTTGCTTCTTTCATTTTGGGTGGATGGTGTGACTTACGCGGGGGAAGGCACCGTAGTTCCACAGGTAGCCCTTGTGGGGGAAGCAGTTACGGACGAAGCGGAGCTTGCCCTTCTTGACGTCCTGCTTGATGGGGTTAAGGAACTCCTCCTTGGAGATCTATGGCGAAGGCGGAATCAGTATTGTGTGCGCCTTGAGGTGCGGGGTTGATATGCCAGGGCATTTCCCCATGGTGTTGACATCAATGAGAGGAACAGGGTAACAATTATCATACCTCCTGCTTGGCGTTGGTCCAGCGGGGGGATCTCGACGACCATGTTCAGAATGGTCTTCTCGGCATTGGCGTAGAGGGGAATGTCGTGGAAGGGGGAGACGATTTGGCCATCCTTCTCGATATAGACACGGTGCTCCAGCGTGTAAGGCTGGGCAATCTTGCGGATAGAGTAAGACATGTTGGGAGATGTGGAAGAGAGATGTCGAGAGAGAAGAGCGGCTCTGACGAGAGGAGGGGAAGAAAAGGAGGAAGGAGGGGCGCAAGTGGGGGGGAGCCAGCGTTGCGGATGTGCGCCAAACAGAGGCGGTGGAGGAAAATCCTAGTCGGGCCAAGGGAGAACGAGATGCAGAACGGGCCAGGGCCATTGGCTGCGGTGGGTTGGAGATGTCAGCTGTATGTCAGCCGCTGTGTTGAGAATCAAGATGGTATAATTGATGTGAGGTGGTGGTTCTTGCTTTGTTGTTGTTTGTTGTCATGAGTTGTGTTGTGTCTGTATATTTGTTGAGTCCGGGTCGTTCCTGCCCCTGTCTTCTCGGGAGCCCGAGATTGCCGTTCCGCCCGTCGTACGCAAGCTCAAGTTTGAGTACTTACTCCATCCCATTTAGAGTATTAGAACAATACAGTACACCTAGTATGGATGACCAATATGACTTTACACACCACTATATATGCTACATTTAATGTAGTCAATTCACTTAATTCATGACATGTCGCGTGTCTGACACATGTAGACAGTATGGGGGTACTTCGGGTGCCTACGTATGCGCTCTGCATGTACTCCGTACATCTAACAGGTCTAGCCGATATCGGCTAGCATTAACCTTGAATCACCCATTGCCAACTACCATGGTGACTCTACGCAGAACACTTGTAAGTGGACGTGGCTGATCACGCAATACTTTCGACAATCCAATTGTGTGTGCTTATAGGAGGAACATGGAAACAATACCCTAGAGACTCCATAATGACCAAGGAATCGATCTTAGAATAGACTGGGTCAGGTCCAGTCATTTTGGATTTAGGGTTGTGCTAATTTTGCTGTGGAGCAGAACAGTTGAAAATTGTAGAAATCTGTTTGCAATTTTCAATGAAGATCCTAAATTTGCAGCGAGCCCCGCTAGTGGTCAGGTAGTCAATGATAACCACCATGCCACGTGATATATGAATCGCGATTTCTTATCCACCTATCACCACGTGATTCGGGCCTGGCCGAACGCCGCCACTTGCGAGTCGCACCCCGGAAAAAAGTGCCTTGGTAGATTTACTTCCCCTCCTCGACATGCTATGATCCGTCTCTTTCGCTCCGCCATGGCCTCCCTCGTCGAATCCGCTACTGCGACCACAGCTGCCCCGGCCACTGTGCCGCGCGTGCCCATCCCCCCCCAAGGGCGTCGATTATCGCGGAAAGATCGTGCTCGCTCCAATGGTGCGCTCTGGCGAACTTCCCTCGCGCCTCCTCGCGCTGAAATACGGCGCCGATCTCGTTTGGGGCCCCGAAACAATCGACCGCTCCCTCATAGGCGCTGAAAGACGCGTGAACCCTCGAAACGGCACCATCGAATGGACCCGCTTCCCCTCCAACGGCGGCCGAGTCGAGAAAGCCGCAAAGCCCTCGGTTATTTACAGATTGGACCCTGTCCGTGAAAAAGGAAAGCTCATTTTTCAACTGGGCTCTGCCAACCCCGACCTCGCTGTCCAGGCTGCCAAGGTTGTTGCCGCAGACGTTGATGGTATCGATCTCAATTCCGGCTGCCCTAAGCCTTTCAGTACCAGCGGCGGCATGGGCGCTGCACTCCTCCGCACCCCCGACAAACTCGTCTCGATCCTGGAAGCTCTTGTGAAGGAAGTTGGCACGCCCTATCAAATCGGCATCTCCGTGAAGATTCGCATTCTCGAAACCCCAGAACTCACCGCTGCCCTCGTTACTCGACTTGTTCGCACCGGTATCACAGGATTGACAGTCCACTGCCGCACTACCCCGATGCGGCCCCGCGAACGTGCGCTCCGTGACCAGCTCCGTATGGTCAAGGATATCTGCCACGAAGCGGGTGTTCCGTGCCTGATGAACGGCGACGTTGAATCCCGCGATCACGGACTCGCACTGATGGAAGAATACGGTGTCGACGGAGCCATGATCGCCACATCCGCCGAAGCAAACTCATCTGCCTTCCGCTCCAAGGCTGACGGTGGTCTTGCACCCTGGAAGGAAGTTGTGTACGAGTACATGAAGTTCTGCCTGGAAAGCGAGAATAAGCTGGGTAACACAAAGTTCCTACTCAACATGTTGATCTCGGGCAAGGACAAGGTGTACAACGAGGCGAAGCAGTGCAAGACATATCTTGATTTCTGCCGCAAACTTGGCTTTGACGATTTACTCGATCACGCCGCGCGTGTTGATGAGATCATCGATCTGTCTCACAAGTGGACCGCGCCTCCTGGCGAAGAAGCCAAGGATCAGCCTCGCTCCAAGGCTGTGCAAAATGCCATGGAGAACAACGAGTCTGCTCGTGCTGCTGGTGGGAATGGTGCTAGAACCAAGTCTGCGACTCAACCTACTCATGCTGGCGGGCCTATTCGGACCTCGTCTGTTCCTAGTGTGACTAAGGTGGCCAAGGCCGAACCCGAAGCACCTGCTGTTGATACCTCGATCCCTGCCGCTCAAGCTCCTCAGCCTGAAGTCACTGCTTAGGCGGTATCTGAATATGGATATCGGCCATACTTGCTGCTCCTCGTCAGATTCCCCACTCTCGCCATTCCCCCCTTTCTCGTGTTGTTTCCCTGCATAGCCTGGTTTCTGAAAATGTTTGTTTGTTGCATAACACGGTTCCCCTGTTTATAGAGTTCCAAAAAGATACATAAGTAATAGATGGTCTGTGGTATTAGTTATTTGTACCTTCAAGGTTTGATCTGAATATATTTCCTGGTCCATGGCCTACGAGTCGAATTTCATAATCCAACTGCATTGCTTGAAAACCCCAGGCTCTAAGATTGCTCCTCAAATTCTCAGAACCACTGGCACCTCGACCTTTAAGTTTATCACAAAAGCGTACTAGTACTAGTACTGGTAGTAGTAAGACTGCTAACCATCCAAGTTCAGGTGGCCACCAGGGTTCTACCTGCTCCAGAGAGAGAAATTGTAGACAACGGCATCAGTCACAATTGGCAAAAGACTCCATCCTGGCATCGTAGCTCCGAATGGTCTAGGTGTCTTGGCCTTACCCGTTTGGGGGGAAGAGTGGTTAGGATGATTAATGAAACGCTAGTAGCTGCCTTGAACCACCTTTTTGCCATTTTTGATTTCTCTCCAGGTCAGAAGATCGATTCCAGCACACATAGTTATTTTTACCCTTTCTTTTCTTTGTTTGTTGTTGGTTGTTGTTGCCTTTTGTACTTGAAAGTGAATCGTGCCTTACCTCCGTTTGCTGTCCCCACTACATCACCAGCGGAGCCGCACTTCTGGCCTCAGGCACCAATATCAAGGTCGTCTACGCCCCCCGTTGTAGATAACAGTTAGCTTCAACAACGTTCGCTCTTCTTTCTACCGACCACTGCGATTTCCGCCTTGCCATTGCCCATTATTAAAAACGTGGAGCATCTGGCTTAGTAATTTCAACGGCTCCGAGGACAAGTAGACTCGGATGTGCACCACCCTGTGCAAATTGGAGATATTCAAATTCAGATGGCTCATGCATTATCTTTATGTGGTCTACTCTAACATGATATGATTTATTGTACGCCAAACCAACATGCGCAAAGTAGAGAGAACTTGAACAAAAACGACCCTTGAAAGTTGGTCGTGAAATGAAAACTCCCCGACAATTCATCATACTCCATTCACCCCATTCACCTTTTTCTCTTCCCCATTTGCTTTTTGCTCCTCCTCAAGAACCATCATCTCTACCATATTCATCCCCTTCTCCTCCGCCTTCCCACCATCCTCATCACCCGCAACAGCCTGATCAAGCGCCAGCTTAGTCTGACCAAGCTTGTAAATCTGCTCCTCAATCGTCCCCTTCGTAACAAAGCGGAAGATCTCAACTTCCCGAGTTTGTCCAACACGATGAGCACGATTCTCCGCCTGAACATCCTCCTGCGGATTGAACGACGAGTCGAAGATAACAACCTTATTCGCGCAGGCAAGGTTGATTCCTGCACCACCGGCTTTAGTCGAGAGCAGGAAAACGGGGATCTCGGTATTTTCGTGGAAGGCGTCGAGGATAGACTGGCGGTCCTCGACATTCGTGCGCCCGTCTAGTCGGACGAATTGAATGTGTAGTGTTTCTAGAACGTCCTCGAGGATATCCATGACCATGGTGAATTGGGAGAAGATGAGGGTTCTGTCGCCGTTGGCGATGAAGCGCGTAAGGAGATCGCGAAGCTTATCGACTTTGCCCGAGTCCATCCATTCGTCGTTCTGGAGCTTGAATTTGCCCAGGCTGCGCGGGTTGGCGATGCACATCTGGTGGCACTCGAAGTCGTTGTATGGTTGGAGTTCTTCGAAGATGATGTTCGGGTCAGAATAGGACCACTTCTCTTCTTTGAGACAGGCGGTGGACATCTTGCGGAGAATGGCGTCGGTATATACTCGTCGCCGGAGGAGAGGGTGAATGGCGGCTTGGCGGAGCTTCATGAGGATGTTGGCGGATTTGGAGCCGGTTTTGACGCCATTTGCGCGGTCCAAGAGGAGTTGGCGGACGCCTTCCTTTTCGTGGTCGTAAATGGCTTGTTGAGAGGGCTTCATCTCGCAGTATTGGACATGGGCGTGTTTTGCGGGGAGGTCGATGACTTGGTGCTTCTTGCGGCGGAGAACGAATGGCTTCAGCATGGACTTGGCACGTTCGATTCTTTGTGCTGAGAGGAGAGTCGCGTGTGATTCGTCGGTCGTTTTGGCCTTGTTGGAGAAGACCGCGTTTAAGTCTTCTTGGTGCTCCTTAAAGACACTAGGCAGAATGAATCCAAGGAGAGACGCCAACTCTTGCAGATTGTTCTGAAGAGGCGTACCCGTGAGGAGAAGACGGAACCGCGCCGGAATGCGAATAAGCTTCTCGTAGAGCATCGACTGGTGGTTTTTCAACATGTGTCCCTCATCGTAAACACAGACCGAGAAATCCATCTCACGAAGGAATTTGGAATCGACCTTGGCCTTGGCAATAGTATAAGTGGTGATAATAACATTGACGCTGTCCGGGTCATCCTCGAGGCTGTCTTCGATTTGCTGTCGGATCTCTGCACGCATGTTTTGGCCTGCGTAATAGGGGATGACATTCAGAGCCGGACAAAACTTTTGAAATTCACGAAGCCAGTTCTCGATGGTCGATGCAGGAACCACAACCAAATGGGGACCCTTCGTCCCCTTTTCGTGCAGGTGGGCCAGGAAAGCAATGACTTGGCAGGTCTTACCGAGACCCATGTCGTCGGCCAAGATACAACTCAATTCCTTCTCGAATAAAAGAGACAGCCAGTTGATACCGACAACCTGATAATCCTTCATTTCGAGGTCTTTCGACATTATTTCCGGCTGAGTGATGAATCCCGCACTCTTTGGCTTGCGTGATACTGCCACCGGGCCATCATCATCAGAATCGTTGCCGTCGCCGGTGGGTGATTGGTGGTTTGATGATGGTGTCGCTATACCAGAGTCATGTGTGTTGATCATCGAAGTAAGCTCAAGCTCCCCGTCGCGTTTTCCAAACATATCCACGCCCCATTTCTTCATCTCCTCGGCGACAGGTCGGCCTAATCCTTCGCACTCGGCAACAAGAGCGTCGATTGCTAAATAGCCAGTCCACATCTCGAGACACTTATCCACAATTTTATCTCCAATGGCCTTAGGTTGCTTGCGAGGTCGGCCCTTTGGCTTAGCCGACTCATCAACAGGCGCCTGTACAGTGCGAACCTCGGAAAGATAACGAAACGGTCGATGAGAGGTAATGAGTTCGGCAGTTTCTTGTGGGACTGATGCGATATCGGCAATATCGTGGGGATTGCAAGTATTGAAGAATTTGAGGACCTTGCCATCTAGACTGCTATCGTTCGCATCCTGAACCTGAACATCGGAGTCGTCGGAGTCTGAAAGCGCCGCCTCGGGTGATTCTGAACGGCTTGGGCTTGGTCGGCGTCGACCTTTCTGAAGTCGGCCTCCCTTCTTTTGCGGAGGCGGGGAAGAAGTGATAGCGATAGGGACTGGGGGGTGAGCTATCGCGTGATGGTGATGCACGGTTTTTGGGTCCACGGATAAGACGGCCACGGGGCTTCGCTGCCTCAGCAGGTTGTTCACGCTGGGTAACAGGTCTGTTCATGGAAGCCCACTTATCCTGAATCGTACCCCGGGCTTTAATTTTCTGCTTGGCCATAGGCGCCGGAACCGAGTCTCGGGGGGCTGGCATATTCAGCTCGTCTTCCGAAGACTCGATAACCAGTACGTCGTGGCTGTGCGCAAGGCGATCCAGGGCCGTGTCGTAGTTTCCGTTCACTTCGAGGAGGGCGTCGACGCAATCTTGGACAGATTTATTGGGAAGGACACTCTGGATGCGATTTACCTTGATCTGTAGACGGTAATCCTCAATTTCATGGACCGAGGTGTATCGCGGTGCCACGGGCTGAGCACGGGAGGGCGCATCCTGTCGCACCTTCTTGGTGGCGACGCCCTTGGGTCCAGCTGGTGGACTCATTTGATCCGCCGAGCGCTTTGTGCCGGTTGAATTGGGATCAAACATGGCGGAGGATGTAATTTGTTTAAACCGATCCATGCTGGTTCCGTCGGATCGGACTGGCGACTCTGCGATCTTCTCCTTCTCCGGGCTTCGGGCAGCCTTTGCGAACATTGCGGGTTTAATATCAGTGCTTTGAGCCGAAGTGTTCTCGTCATCATCAGATGAGCCGCCTCGATAAGTAGGACCGTCTTCCAGGTCGAAAACAGGTGTTCGCTTCGCAGGTCCGAGGGATGTTGCAGGGGAGCGGAATTGGGTCCCTGAAGGGGCCATCAGCGAGGATAAAATACCACCGGGGGGTCGGCGCGGTGGTGAATTCGCAGGGGCGGTCGGCGAAGAAGCGGCCACTTGAACAACCGATGCCGAGGGTCGTGAGTATGGCAAATCGACCAATTGCGTCGGTTGTGTCAATCGTTGCGACGGAGTCAATGTATGCGCTCCGAGGGGGACAGTGGCAATAGTATCGTGATGGTCTTCGTCAGGATCGGGGGTACCTGGTGCAGGGTTTCTATCCCTTCCGGGTGTATCGGGAACTGGATCGTGCATCGCAAGATATATAAAAACAAAATGCCCTCGATTCCAGCTGTTCGCCCGACTCCTGTCAAACATTCACTAGAAAGCGCCCTGGAGAAGTCCTCCAACCACTTTTTCTGCCCCGGCGGACACGCGCCGACGCGCGAACATCACGTGAACTATACTGTATCCCATTTGGGATTGGGACACAGTAGACCCTTGGAGGAGAGAGCAGCATCATATAGAATAGTAGCTGGAAGCAACGATTGAAAGTGGAATTGAGATTCGTGATTTGTGAAATGAAGTAATATTCAACAATATATAGTAAATAGTAAATAATGGCGGTATTTCTACCACGGTGACGCGTGTGCCATGTGACCAGGTGTGACTAGGCTCTTCTGGTGTTCTCCGCAATAGTTAACGTTAACTGTATTATAGCCTCATCTCCATCTCCCCCAATCACAACCTCCATCTTCACTGTCACTCTGTTCAGGTTTGACCGATCCACAATAAACCATTCAGGGAAATTGCACAGCTCTTCATTGCCCCTTGTACCCTATTTCCCACTTTCCAAAATGTCAGCCCGCAAGCCCCATGGACAGAGCTATGCCGACGTTGCCGCCAAACCACCACCAAAGACCGACTCCAGCGTGGCCCCAGCCGTCCCAAGGTATTCATCATTCATACACCACTGGATCTAGGTCAATTTCAACTGACATGTTCTTTCAAGTGATGTGATCTTCAAGCTGCTCGCCTTCACTGCCGCCATGGTGGTCGGCCCCATCGGCATGTATTTCCTGACTGTTAACACCATCTTCGGCGGTATGTTCGAAACACATTTCAAAACCTTTCAAAAAATCATGGCCTGACAACCTAACCCTAGGAAACCCAACATATGCCGGAATTGTCGCGGCGGTGACGGCCAACGTGGTATTATTCGCCTATATCTACGTTGCCTGGAAAGAAGACCAGGGAGACCGAGAAGAAGAAGCCAAGGCCAATTCAAAGAAAGGACAATAGTCAATAGATGCCAAACTTCAAACCGTCAAATCATCCAAAATTGAATACGTTTTGTCATTCCATGGTGCAGCCTGGTTAGTAAGTGTAGCGGCTCATCGAATCTCGGGGGCTCTGGTCTCCCAATCACCAGGCAGCAGTGCAACGTCGAGTAAGCTTAAGTACACCTCATGCATTATTGTAAACCCAAGGTCTGATCTTCAAAACTTTGAGTGACATGCTAGTATTTTACTAGTATTCATCCTACCATTTTCATCTCCAGCTTTCAAGATGTTCTCTCCTACCGGTATATGCAAACAGGCTGTTCTTTCTTTCTATTACCCATACAAAACCAAAAAGAATATCAATGTATGAGTAGTGAAACGGATTCAAGGTCGGTTTCATGGTGTTGATCCTGGTTTCAATTATTATGAAGATTGGGTTCTAAAATCCCGGGCCAATAGACCACTCCTTGTCGGGTTCAGGTACAGCAACATGATAGTCAGAGGATACATATGGGGGCGTTGAGATATGAAACTTTTGAATATCGTGCATCGCAAAAGACAGAAAACATTCCCTCGATTCCAGCGGTCCACCCGACTCCTGTCAAACATTCACTAGAAATCCTTGGAGAACAACCACCTTCTCTGTCAAGGCAGACATTTCGAGATGAAGATGGCCATGATAATAACCCAAAGCCTAGCATGTAGCTTGCGGAGTGTGTGGAATGGTAGTTCTACTTATGGAGTCTTCAATCAAGCAGACAAGCGGACGGTCGTTAAGGGCAAGCTCCAGAATGTACTTTATGCAGAGCCAGAAATACTGGTCTCGGCTCGCATTTCGACATTCCGTGCATAGAGGAACATCTGGCCTAGCTGGTGCCAGGTTCTCCCAAGGGTGAAACCGGTAATCCTTGATTTTGACCATTTACTCCCATGAGGCGCAGTGCATGCAATCTCGTAGCTCAGCCTTGGCGGGGCGAATACTTTCGTGATCGAAGAAATGCTTCTTTTCTCGGAGCTTCAAGCAAATCCTGCCTCCGAATAGGTTCCCGTTGTATCTGAAATTGTCAGTCATGGAAAGCCAGATTGAATCATCATCTGGGCGGATGGAAGTGCAAGTTCGTCGGAGTGGGTTTAGTCTCACTTAGCCCAGGACTACATGGCTACTAGATAAGCCAGCTTTCCTTCAACTTCCTTTGGAGATTCCACTTTGGTGATGCTGCGATACATTTTGCAGCTTTGAGCGATTGATAAGGCAGATGGCCCGTCGAGGTAGCTAATGATCATCAACTGCAGCTCTACCGGCAGTTCGAGTAAGATTTTGTTGTTCTTTGCCATACTGCTTGGTAGTTCTCGGAGTTTTGAAGAATCTCTAGGTATGCTTGGTGGGATAGCTAAGAGAAAGGTACGAGATAGCAATTAGAACTTTGAAGCAAAGGCATCGGTGGCCATTCACTAGGCTCCATACCACCTGGGCATCTACCTCAACAAGGAAGTGAATACTCACCATCCACACTCAAGCCGTTGAAAATAGACTACCGGGGTCATCTTCACAATAGCGCTGATGCTGAGGCTTGGAAGATTCTTTGCAGAAGTGAAGCTTGTATATCTAAGAGTATTCAAGTTTATTAACACTGTCAGATCTAAAAGAACAAATGTCTTTTCGTGATTCCAGTAATTTGCCCTACTCCCGTTAATCGTCAGGAATCTAGAAATTTGTAAAGCATCTTGCCTTCTGTATAGTAGATCACAGTATTCAAACTTGGGTCTAGTATCGTTGGAAGTCACACATTTATATGCCAAAGGTCGTTATTTATTAAGATGCCCCGAAACTCAGTGGGTTTTCGGGGCTGTCCTCTTCTAGGAATCTTCGACCCATGGGCTTCCAAGTTTATCAGTGGAAACGACTTCAATGTTTCCAAAGGCGCCAACTTTGTTATAGCCTGGCAAGGATATTGACTGTTGTCATAACCCCATTCTACCTTGTAACTGCTTTCAATGTTTACATATTGACCGAATAATATGAGAGCAAGAAAGTGGTTGAAGAACTAGAAGCTGGTGGTGGAAGGAAGTGACAAAATAGGAAATTTCAGCGATATGGCCTTATGAGAGCATTTCAAAGAGTGGGTTCTCATGATTGTTGGTGTTCTTGTTTATGCTGTTCCTTTGTGGTGATTATGCAGCCTGGTCTTCCTCAGGCTTGAATGAAAGACCAAAGTCCCGGAAGGTTATAAGAGCCTCAACGCAAGTGCGACTGCACCACAAAATTTATGAGGAAGAGGACCGGAATCTGCCATACTATGTGTGTATTGGGCTTTATTCTTATTTTCATTTCAGGTTTAGAAAATATTCTTCATGATCATATTCGCGGGTCTACTAGGGAATCTAATAGTCTGCTAATAGTATGTACACAGAGATTTTAGAGTTTCCAAATCATTGCCAGTCCATTCACTACTCCCCAAGGGTTACTCTTGCCACATGTCACCCCTCTTCATCCTCCATGAGTAACTTTCTTCCGCCAACACTGTTGCTGAACCTTCCCATCGATAGAAGCCACACACCAAACCCTTGAAACCCGAAACACAACCTCATTTCGCATCCACGAGACTAAATCAAGATAAGCCAGTTCGTACTCAATCAGCTTAATGACTCAGGCGACGATATCTCTTCTCGACCTCCCGGTTGAGTTACAGCTGATGGTATTCAAACAACTTAATTACTCTTCCCTCGTTGCACTTGCGCAGACTTGCCTCAAATACCGCTACCTTGTCAAGATTGAGCCTCCTAGGGATTTATCCCAGACTCTGCGCTTGGAACTTCTCGGCTCCATGGAAAAATGGGAAATGTGGGTCATATTCTCTTACAAAATCTCACTATCTTGCCTCAATTCTGACCTACTACCACAGCTATCACAAACATCTTGCCTGCGGCACCTGCCTTAGGCTTCGACCGCGAACTTACTTTCATAAAAGCCAGATATATTGGAATCAAAGCTGTAGTAACCGATTTAGTTTCAAAAGCTCGAGTTTTCCTGAATACTGGAACCCACCTGAATCCTGGAACTACCTACGGGAGTGCCTTGATTGTCGGACCCCCTCTAGGGAGGAGTTTCCATATGAGACTGTGACTGGCGAGAAAGTAGCTCCTTGCAAAAGATGCCGAAAGTGGCAGCAACACGGACGCTGGTGTTTGCGCTGTTCTACTTGCTTCAGCTGTCTGGATATCCAATTCCCAGGTTGGCTAGACGTTCGTGAGACACATTTTCACCCCCGGGAACCACCATGTCCCATATGCTGGCCTACACGACTTACGGCTAAAGGGGAAGTTGTTGAGAATGGGCGTCCGCATTCCATTTTTAACATGGACAAAGGCGAATTCACAAGATATGGCAGCAAGCTTCTGTCTCTTTGATTGCCCCCGTTGAAAAACCGAGACCAAGTGAGGCCAAAGGCAAATCTTCACCAAGGGTACAGGGGGGGTCAATATTTCGCCCTGGGAGTGCCTGATCTGGCAAGTGGGGGCTATGGCTAATCGATAGTTTCATATTTCCAAAGATGCAAGTGATCAAGTTGCTTCTTATCAACAAAAATATTTTTCAAAAATACCATCTAGAGTTAAATTAAATAATAAATTGAAAGATGATAGTTCATTCTGTATACTGCTTATATCGGCTCATGAGGCATGCAAGAGGCGTAAAAGTTGTCGTTGAGGGAAAATGAACTGAAGTTATTGTTGAAGTGCTGGCTGAAGTGGAAGTAGCCATGGCCATCTTGTAAAGATCGTTTAGGGGATTACTGATATTTCTAACATTAATAGCTCGATGAGGGTAGAGGAGTGAGGCTTAAGAATACGCCTAGGCTTGGGCGACACATCCCAACTTTGGAACTGGCCAATTTTTACGAACTATCTAGTACCCATTCTGTAGGTAGTCTCTAATTTTCAAAGCGCTATTCCGTATAGTATAGACTCGGACTTATCACTTGTAATAGCCACTGTATTGAGTAGACTATTGATTTATTGAACCAACTCTGGTCG